CAAAACTCATCATCACATTTAGAAGAGAAGAATATGTCATTTCATGAATATATTGATGAAAATAACTGGGAATGGCCTGAGCTTACATATGATGAACTAGAGTCAGCAATATTCTCAAGTTCAATTAAAACTGCTGCAGGGCCTGATTCAATTAATCACTCAATTATTCAAAACACATATTCCTACTTGAAGAATGAATATTTTGAGCTCTTTTTCAATCTCTTAAAAAATGGTTATCATTCTGAATGCTGGAGAGAAGCTACTGAAGTAATCCTTGCAAAACCTAATAGAAAGGCTTCAATTTCTAAGTCATATAGAGTAATATCTCTGTTGAACTGTTTGAGAAAAATTCTAGAAAAGATAATAGTTACTAGATTATCTTTTATAAGCTCTATTAGTGATTCTCTTCTATTTAATGAACAAATGAGAGGTAGAAAACAATGTTCTGCAATTGATACTGTTCTCTCAGTTGTTCATGATATTCAAGTAGCAAAGTATGAGAGCCTGGTCTCAACTGCAGTTTTTATTGATATAGAAGGTGCATTTGATCATGTGTCAAAGTCTAAGATGATTCAAACTTTGAAGATGTTAAAACTGCCACTTTCTCTAATAAAATGAGTCAATTGTTTCATGTCTAAAAGAATTATACAACTATTCTTTGATGGAAGAAAACAAGATAAAACTGAGATAAAAATAGAAGTATCACAAGAATCTTCAATCTCACCTGTTTTATTTGCAATATACACTGCATATCTATTCAAGAATAGAGAGATGAAAATAGTGAGATCTTCAAGTTATGTAGATGATATTGATCTACTCTACAGTTCAAAGATAATCAAAGAGAACTTAGAAGTGATTGAGAAAGCAGCAAAGAAAATCTTTGTTAGAGTAGATATCAATCTAATTCAATTTGATATGAATAAAACTGAGTTAATTCACTTTTTTCCCAGGTTTAATGAGAAAGAACTAAGTCTAACTCTTTTGAATAAAGAGATTAAACCCAGTTTAAATGTCAAATGGCTAGAAGTATGGTTAAACTCCAAGCTGAATTTTAAATATCATATTCAACAAAGAATTATCAAGGCAGAGAGACTACTGAATAGTATAATCAGACTATCAAATACTGAGAGAGGTCTATTCTTTCAGGCTATGAGACAGTTATACATAGCCTGTATTACCTCAGTAGCTGATTATGAAGTTCAAGTTTGATGGAACAATTAAGGAAACTTCACTGAACTCTTTCAAAGTCTATAAAACAGAGCTTTGAGAAGAATTCTGAGTGCATTCAAGTCATCTTCTATTAAAGCAATGGAAATTGAAGCTTCAATTCCATCTCCTGCTATTTGATTTGAAAAGGCCTGTATGAACTATGCTCTGAGAGTCATGAAGATGAGCTCAAATCATATAATCAGAGAAAGAGTCTCTTCTTCATTTTCACCAGTTAACTCAGGAAATGAACTGGATTGGAATAGATTTCTTGATTGGAATAAGAATAATACTTTAAAGAAAATGCCCTCTCAACTGTATAGACTATGTTCACTTATTAAGAATCAATTTTCTTCATTAAATGTTGAGAAAATTGATCATGAGAAGATATCTCTCTGGAGAGAAAAGCTGGAATCTCTCATAGACTTACAAATAAGTGAACTATCTAAAGAGAGAGAATATGAACAGCATTTGAAGAAGATCTCTACAATTAATATAAAAGACTCTATTCTGATCTACTCAGATGGCTCAAAAAATGAGAATTTGAATAGATTAGGCGCAGGCATTGCTTATACTGAAGATAATATTAATTTTATCTCAGATTTCTGAAATTTAGGCTGTGAATCTGAAGTCTTTGATGCTGAACTATTTGCAATAGTGAAAGCTTTCAAACTCATTGAAATAAAATCTCATAAAAGAGAAAATGATTTGAAAGAGGCATGAATATTCTCTGATAGTCAAGCTGTCTTAAAAAAACTTAGAAATAGTCAGATTTATAATGATCAAATGAATCTTGAACTGATTTTAAACTCTGTTTTGAAAATTTAAAAGAGAAGAATATCAAAACTGATAATTCATCTGCATTGAGTTCCTGCTCATATGAATATTCATGGCAATGAATTGGCTGATTCAGCTGCAAAAAAGGGTTCAGAATTAAGCAGATCTATTCAAAAAACAGTGTCCTGATCTTTCATAAAGAGAAAGATAAAAGAATCTTGTTTAAACAAGTGAAATGAAAGCTGGCAGAAACAAAAGAAGAGTATACATTATTCAAGATTTGAGACAAAACCAAAGTGGAAATCTTGTTCAATTAAATGTAAAAAGAAAATATTCTCATCTATAATTCAGCTGAAACTAGGACATGGTTATTTCAAATCTTATATATAAAGATTTGATGATAGATTTGATTCAACAGAGTGCTCATTCTGCAATGTGAATGAAAATCCTGAGCATATTGTAATGCATTGTGCATTATACAATAGTCTCAGAGTCAGATTAAAGAAGAAGTATGATTTAAATCAATTAAATATGAGGTTCCTATTCTCAACTGAGACAGGAACTAAATACTTAATAGACTTTCTATCAGAAACTAGAGCAGCTACAAGAAAATGGCTGAATTCAGAAGTATCTGAATATGAAGAGGTGAAAATTGACTAGATATAGTCTGTTAAAACAGCTATACATCATCTTTTAATAATTTTGTTTTGTTATAGTCTTTCTTTACTGTACTTGTTTTCTTCTGTTCTTTTCTCTATCTATTTAATGTGTCTATCTTTAAGACTATGTTCTCTTTTCTTTTGTCATAATATTTTCAAATGATTTCAAACTATCAGAAGGTGTTGAAATACTGTAATTTATAAACAGTTTTTATATTCTGGGCTGGAATTTTCTGATTTTGCATATTTGAAATTGATAAATGTATAATAGTTGACTCTATAGATATAGGAAAAACCCTGAGAACTAAAGATTCTCAGATAGATGTCATAGTCTCTGACTGCATACATCTATAATTGAAGAATAATAATAATAATAATAATAATAAGATCTTATTATAATTTCACACAGCTTATTGCTTTTATGTGAATAATTTCATTCTGTTTGAACTGGTTTTCAATCACTTTATAATATTATTCAGATATATTATAGAAAGATCTGATTAATAAATATAATAATCTCACTTCTATATAAGATTAGCAGATTACTCTTCTCTAATAGTAAGATGCTGCTAAGATATCACTTCAGCTATTCTTACTTATGAAATGAAAGAAGAGTATTCACTCATTATCTATATAGAATAGCTAGATACTGACTTCTTATTAAAAAAGTCAGTGATTTGTTTTTCTTCTACTGAAATATATATAAGAGTTACTGTGTTTCTTATACAATCTTCTTAGTATACTAAGTATTATATCTGTAATATTCTTATAATAACTCTGTAGTCTATAAGCTTGCTATTTAAGTAAGATAGTTAAGCTCACTTATACAGCTTCTTAAATAACTATCTCTATGTAATGCTGCTGACTAGTCACTGCTTTGATTCCGCCATGTTATAATTTGTAACAGAGAATATGCATTTTAATTAATTAATATCACATCTTCTATATTAATCTCATATACAAATTCTTGTTCTGATGATAATTCTGATGAAAGATCTATTTAAAAAATCTTCTTATACTTCTTCAGAAGTTTCTTTATATACTTATTCTTATATATATTCTTTATCTTGATTTTCTCTTCTTCTGAGTCTTATATAATATATAAGATACTTTCAGATAAGATCTTATAAATTATTCTCTTTACTTATTAATATATAAGCAGATTTAACTCTTCTATATCAGAGATGTAAAATGTTCTTCTTATATCAGTTAATAGAATTACATAAATCATTTTCTTTCTATCAGTTAATCTTATATAATATGTATATTATTGAATCTGCAGATTAAATCTTTGAAATTAATTAAGTTTGAGAATAAGGTCATATTTCATATTCTACAGCTCTTGTACTTAAATATAGTAATGTGACAGGCTGCGCTCGATCAATTATATAGACTATTTCATTACACTTCACAGATTTTATCAAAAGCTTCAATTCTCAGTCACTGATTCTCAGCTGAAAAACTTATGAAATTTTTATTCTTCTACTTTAAAACTTTACTATATATATAAAACTTCTATTCTTCTGCTCTGAAGCTTTACTGTGTACATGTATAAATATTCACTTTAATTACTAATTTTCATACTTTCTCTTTCTTCTCTTCTCTAATGTCTTTTGAACTGTATTTGAAATTCCAAGTTTGAACTTGATCATCTTCTGTAGTTGTCTAGTCTGAGTATAAAGAATTAATAGAACTTCTTCATTCATCTCACTTAAATACTGTTTTTCAAGAATTTTGCTTGCTTTTTCAAGTTTCTGTATTTCAAGAACTTGTTATTTCTCTATGTCTTCTTTCTTTCTTCTCTTCAGAATTTCAATCTCAGAAATAGTATTTGAGAAAGCATCTTTTTCCACATTAACTGAGTGTATTTTTGAACTCATTTTTCTCACTCAATGAAAAGTTGATCAGACTGTTTCAATTGAGAGATTTATAAGTCTTATTCAGCAATGTGTCACTGAATATAATGGTGGAACATGTGTTACGATTGGTGACACGTGACACGGGTGGAATGGTGGATCCACGGTGTAATCGCCGTAAATTAGCACTAGAATAATCAACCAAGTTCAACCTCTTCTACACATATTTCCTCCTGTATTACCAACACTTGGCCTGTATTTAAAATCACGCAAGGAACTCATCATAAGCTCCGCTTGCATATGAATATAATGGAAGAATAATTATACTAATAATAACACGGTTTTAGCGCCTTGACCGTGCATTTAAGTTTGGTTGTCCCCGCCATTGGCGCCCTGCGGAAGGAAATAAGGGGAAAATAATGACGTCTAGTTTGTTCGGCAATTGTAAGATTTATAATATGAAATTCAACCGGCTATAGTTATAGCAAACCCCGGATATAACAAAAATACCTTGGAAGGTTTTTTTTTTCTTTGAGCTGTGAGTCATCGCTAAGGTTTTTTCATTTTTCCTTCAACAGAATGCTCTTTATTATAATACTCGAAGTTGGCTTTTACCCAGGTTGATATAAAAGGAATAGTCCATCTCTCAAGTAGTTATAGTTCTCATGTTCCTCACTGGCCTTCAGGGCGGACTATTTTGGGCCTTTGCCGTTATTTACCGAATATATCTCCAGGCATTCCCTGAGCGCTCTTCGTACCGTTCTTGCGATTGTAACATAACAAACATACTTCGTAATCATTTTTTCAAAGCCTGCCACTCTTCACCATGTTCCACCCCCGGTTGGCCGGCATTGTCCCGCGCCTGAATGCCTCTGTTCCAGTGTCGCTCCTCCTCATATACGTATTATGTCTATCACCAATATTCCTCCTCGTGTACTTTGGACACAAAAGTCGTCGCGCAGCAGCCCGAAAACCTAAGGGATGCCGAAAATTGGGCTTATATGATTTCTCAAATCTTAAGGATGAAGACAACTACCGTGCTGACGGGAGGCCGAAACGAAGCAAGCAGAGCGATGCGGGGAAAGGAAGAATCCGGGTAAAGGCTCTGTTGGCGTATCCGATCAAGAGCTGTGCCGGAGTCGAGTTCAATATCGCCGATTTTGAGAGTACCGGAATGGCATATGACCGACAATTTTGTTTTGCGGAATATGTAAACTCTCCGGCATCAGGCACAGCGGAATCGGAAGGAAAGAAACATGACGATAAACCAGTAGGGAAATGGGTGTTCCGCACGTTGCGTGACTTGAAATATGGCAAATTAGCCTTAGTCCGGCCGGAGATCTGGGTTCCTGATCCTTCATCGCCCACTTACTCACCAAAACGCCCGGAGGTGCGCTCAAAGGGCGTTCTGGTGATAAACTACCCTCGCGTCCCAGGCGGCACTAGGCTCAAATGTCTCCTTTTATCATTCGGAATGAGACTGGGCCTCTGCTCTCGCGAAGAATCCTTTCAGATACCACTCAGCCCTCCGGCATCGGCCATTAAAGCTGGCACCTATCCATCTCGCTCCGTGCGCATCTGGAAGGACACTCCTATGGCCATCGACTATGGCAAACACATCCCACCATCCCTTCTCGCCTTTATCGGCCCCTCAAGACCCATGACTCTCTTCCGCATCGATCCGGACCACCATCGGAAAGTTTTCCGCGGCGCGCCTAGCAAGGAGGTTCTGGGTTTCCAGGCCACCACAGGCTTCGCGGACTCATTCCCGGTCCACATGCTGGGCCTGGGGAGCGTTCGCGAGATAGATGCACGCACTAAGTACGCCATTCCCAACTTATCAATACGTCGGTTCCGGCCCAACATCATTCTCGAGGGTAGTGCGGCGTTTGAGGAGGACGATTGGAAGCGAGTGCGGTTCATCCCGCGGAATGACAAGCAGATGCTGGGCAGCCAAGTGGCGGAGGAGGCTGGGAAGAGAGAAGGACAGAACGGAACTTTAGCAGACGATAGTCAAAGCCGTTCTAGTAAGAATGGAGATGAGGGAGTTGAAATGTATATCTCGTGTCGGACTATGCGGTGCAGATTGCCAAACGTGGACCCGAACACGGGACTGAGGCACCCCGTTGAGCCAGATAAGACTCTGAAGAGCTTCCGGTGCATTGACGCTGGAGATCCGAATAATGCGTGTTTGGGGATGCAATGCGTTCCAGCCGTTGAGGGTATGTGTCTTCCTTTTCCTTTTTCTTTTTTACGCTGGACCATTTTCAGAGGGTGGGTATGTTGAGTGCCTTTAGGCGGGACTCCCATCTGAAAATTTCATTACAACCTTTTCTCAGTTGAGCTCAATTCATTATTCCTTTGGAAGACGACGATTGCAAGAGGTTAACGCTAAATATGCAGAATTCACACTTCGCGTCGGAGATGAGCTCAAGGTTCTCGAAAAGGGCGAGCATTTCTATCTTAAAATGGGGTAGGAGTAAGAAATATGTACATGAGCAAAAACCTGGCAGTTCTGTTGAGCATACTGCATCGTCGCATAGTGTTTAGGGAGGTTATGTATGATACCATCCATATATATTTCCAGTTCGTATTTGTACTGCCTTGGGAAAAAAGGAAATAGAAATAGAAATGAGTGCGGATATTCGGAAGGGGTGTTTTGCTTGGCCAATGGCGTTATATACCACTTGTCCGCTTCAACGTTCAAAAGTCGAAAATAGAGGTGGATAGATATGTATTCTACAGATTAAGCTGAATGATATCATTGACATAGTTCTCATGGACTGTTATGCCGGAGGAGAAGCTCTCCCAAAGCGTATACACAATGCAAAGGTTTGCTGTGTAGAACCAAACTCTGTCCGTAGATATGCAATTAAGTCGTGATTCCCCTTATAAACCCCAAAGTCGAGAGAATGGCATATTTGTATGATAAAACGGGTCAGGAGATAAGAGGAATAAAGGACTGTCCTTGCGCAACGCTCCATATCACAGGCGATGACCACCCCTACGCCAATTGAGGGTATGCGTACAAGACAGCGACACGGATGGACAGTCAAGTTCATCTTGAATTAATCAAAAATAGGTAATTATAGGATAAGGAGAACCTATGAAAAAGCCAAGGGAAGTGATCCAACTCCTGGAAAGCGCACGCCCAACACCGAAGATAGCACACATAAGGATAGAAAGCAAGAACATTATTCAAAGCCCAAATTAAACAAGGGGTATGTGTTCGTCAAGGAAAAAGCCCAACAAAGATGCCAAAAGAGAAGGGAACCGGAAGAAAAGGTTGCACTCCCTCCAACGCCATTTTCATGGTTGGAACCGCAGACGAAATTCGTGACCCTTCCCCTCTTCGCGGACTTTATACAAGAACCTTGCAATGGCATCCTGCTCTACAAGCCCCACGTTATTAAAATGCTTCCTCACCGCCGTGGCAAGCTGATCTTTCGTTACCTTTCCCTGGCCGCGAACAGTAGAAATACGATGCAAATCCATGCCTGGCGCGCTACTGCTATTATCTCCGTCGAGCGATTTATTATTCGTAATATCATCCTTTTTGGAAGACCGGGAGACACTTCCATCTTCAACAGTTTTGCGCCGTGCGGCAAGCTGGGCGCGCCGAGCAGCTATCGTTGTCGGGGAACGGAGACCAATTCCTTGACTTAGAATTATTGAGGATATTTGAGATGAGTAGGCGCTAGCACAGGGGAGGTTGTAGGCATGACGGTACTGGTGAAGAACGGAGAGTGGCATGCTTGACCAATTTATCTGCAAAATTTACGGCCTTCGAGTTAGCACTGTTGGAATTCTATGGCGGAAAAGTAAAAATCTGCGGCCGAAGGCCGAGGGGAATTTTTGCGCCCCTCCCAACGGGGCAACATATTAAAGGAGAAATTTGGCCATGAAAATGCTACTAGAGAGCAACCCAAGAAGAACAGGACTTACTCCAACGGGCTCTGTCGAGTTCTCAGTTCCCGCATCGTGACTGCCAGCTGCCGTAACAGCAGCAGCAATTTTCATATCCCTGGATGACATTGAGCTGCCGAGAGCAGCGATGTTTGGCTGCCTACGACCCTTGGTACTCGTTGGATGTCGTTCTCTCGTGCTGCTAGAGGCCTCTGACCTCGAATCTTCAGGATTCGTAGCGGTTCGTTGACGAGGAGGAGCCATGGTTTACGGTCAGGTTAAATTAGGTGAGGAGGTCAAAGGTAGTCACTACCGATGAGTACGGAGGATGGATTATATAATTAAAGAACGTAAAAATGCTTGATAAAAACGAGGGCTATGGGATATAAGTGTCAAATGGTATAATATTATCATGCTGGCACAGTAACACGATATAATATTAGATCACGGGCGAGATATTCACCGTCAGGGGTGAAAACAGCCCCCATTGCGCCCACTCTGAAGCCCGACAAAGAATGCATCATAGGGCGGTGACCCTCGGCAGAATCAATTTCTTGACCACACTAATCCTAAAGAAGTTAAGACCACGGCGCTAAGCGGTAACCCTAACTGTCGCGGATGAACTTAAAATCCGGGGTACGCTAAACTGTATTAGGGTTGTACCTGAACCACTTCTCAAATAATATGAGATAGAACGAACCAGACAACTATCTTCGAGATTTTGCGAACACAGAAAAAGCAACAACGAGCGTTCGTTTCTCAGCAGGCCGCCTGCAGCAAGGAGTGATAGTTCAAAGCATGCATGAGCTTCAATAAATAACACTTCCCGAGTTCCCCTGCAACACTGCATCTTGGTCTAGCTACACCGGCATTTAAATCGCAGCTCACTTAAGGAGATAGAGGTCATCTCGAACGCATCCGATGCCTTTGCCATCAGCTTACTAACTGGGAATGAACAAACAGATTTCCGTGTGAACCAGAAAGACCAGGGGAATTGATATGATATAAATCCATTGCTATAAACTCCGGCATGAAACTATTGTCCTCCTCTAACTCTTTCCAGTTTTATATTCACACCCACAAAGTCACCCTCGTATTTCTGCCTGTTCATTTCCTGTCACACAGCTTGATGAACAGCATATAAGGACATTCGCCGATTTTACCCGGAATCGCCCACCACATGAATGCGCGCAGAATGACATACATACAAATGGGAACACAGCAGATGACTGGATGGTTCGGCTTTGTGTTTGATCTCTCAGACGTGCGATATTTCTCACCGCCTCGAGCTTGGTAGTTATCCATCCACCTTGCCTTGCTATCAGAATAGCAGCATAAACAAAGCTCAAGGAATAAGCTCTTTTCAAGGATGCAAGCGAGAAAGGGAGCTTAGAAGTGTTGAAGAAAAATAAAATATATAAAAAATAAAAAATAAATAAAAAATAAAAGTTCCCGCCACCTCACAGGAAAATCTGAGATACTCAGCATTTGTGTGAAAGCTTCTGATGGACCTGTGCTTTAAAAAATTAAAGATAAAATATAATAAAATAAAAATAACAAGCACAAAATCGAAGAGGAAAAACTTAGGGAAAAGCGAAAGAAAAGGCAAGAAAATATTAAACTTGCGTATTCATATCGATAATAACAGTTCAAGGCCGGAAAGAGATGAAAGAGAACGCAATCATAAAGTTTCTCTTCACATCCCTTCAGAATCCTTATTTCAGGCGGCATTTCAGCACATCAGGCCAGACAGAGCACTCAAATAATAATAATAATCTGGACGGAACATGACTCCATAGAGCGGAGTTGAATACAGAAGATCTTTGAAACTATTATTTTTGATCTGTCTTCACAAGCAAAAAACTCAACATGTTTAAGTAATAAAACACATGAAATTATGAAAAGAGATGAATGCATAACTCAAACTCATAAAACCACAGAGTGGAAGAAATACTATAATGACAGATTCCAACAGTTCTGTATTGAGAACTGGTGAAATTCTCAGAGATCTAGTTGAATAATTTCATATTTTCAGAATTCAATATGGTCTAGGCTGAATCATGATCCTGAATTTCAAAAAAGAAAAAAAAAAAAAAAAAAAAAAGAGGAGGGGGGAAGGAGGAAATAGGGGAAAAGAAACAAGGAAAAAATCGGGAGCAAATATACAATTATCAATTGCCGGCATCAACTCAGCCACTGTAGATGCAGCAATGATGATGTACTCATCTCGTGATGGGACAGCCAAAACGCTCTGTAAATTCATAAGCAATAGAATAGCTATGACTTCATTGATTTATTCATTCATTCATCCATCTGCGAAAAGGCCTCCACTCCTTCGCGTCTACTCCGTATACGGGGGAAGATTGACCTCTAGGACGAGAATTGTGCCCATCACAGCCCTTGGGTAATAAATAATCGGAAAGGGAAGGGGAGGAGGGTTTGGGAGAATGATGCGACTTATTAACAGGTTCACTCTCGGCCTATGGAAGTGAACGTAAGCATAGCCGAGGCGGTGATCACGAAAGGTGCCGACAAATTTCTTTTTTTCTTTTGTTTTGAACAGTTTATTTTCCCTTTTTTTTTTTTTTCAGTATCATTGTTTTACCCTGCCTAACTTTTTTGCATTAAACATAACAACCAGGGCATAAGGCGCTACCTGGTTTTCAGGGTTAATAGAAATTCTCTTTGCTGCCTGTCAGGGGCCAGGGCCACCACAACCCCCAGAACAGTAACTACGGAGTAGCATCAAACAGAGTTGCAACGCAAGCCGGAGAACCCTCGGCCTTTCGCATTTTCCCTAAATTCAGGAACGCAAGCGACATGGGTTCATTGCGGAGAAGGGTAAAATCTCTGTTTTCTTTTATTTTTATTTTTATTTTTATTTTTATTTTTATTTTTATTTTTATTTTTTTTATTTTTCTTTTATTTTCCCTTTTCTTTCTTGATCCACTTTTCTAGCTTCGGGACAATCTGATTTCTCCTAGCCTGCTTCTTTTTTTAGATTACATACGCTGGTTTTGCAAATATTATTAGTTACACATCTGGTAAACATATTTCCAAATGCGCAACGGGAGCATGACGATCATGTTCTGCAACATCACCCGCGCTGGTTTGGCAAAAAAAATTTGAACCCGAGACGAAAGTCACCGCGGGTCTTGAAAAAAGCAAAGAAAATGAATGAAGGGAACTGTTCCGCCAGTTACCATTTTCCCCTTTCGCTCATGCGCACACCGTGGCCTTCTCTCCTTCTGTGATTGCGCAGATAACCTCGTCGTTCAGCTTGCGGATGGGCTTTTGGGCAGGAGCTGGCGAATGCTACATTGACAAGCGCCGTCGTGAAGCAACATGGGGACTGGATTCGGTTCCGATTGGCCATGGCATAGAGCCAGGATTTTCGTTCTAGAAGGATAAGAAAAATATAAAGTTATTTACCTAGCCTTTCTGATCGACTGACCTCAAAAACCTTCAAGATCCCCCTTGCGAAATATTGATATTTACACTTGGAAAAAAAACCGCTACTATATAGTTACCCAGCCTTATATAATAAATTACTAGTGTTCTCAATAATAAATTAACTAGTGTTCTCAAGTAGATCTTGAAGTTGTGAAGAACTCTGTGATGTACAGTATAATTCTCTACATCTCTAATCTAAATCATCTCATTCTCGGATTTCTATCATGATTTAGAGCTGTCAGATCTGAGCTCTTACCACCTAAATCAAAAAGATCATAAAACAGCTGACTTCTGCCAGTCATGCCTGATGCTTCATGTGTATTAGTGTGGCTTGCTTACTCCAGCTTCTGAACTTCTCGGCTTTCTAAGACTCTCTGAGTATTTCTAAGTACACTTTTTACAGCCTATCAGGTCCAAATTAAAATGATTCTAAAACAGCTAGCTTCTTACTAACTATGACTAGCATTTATTCTGTGTCTGTCTTCAGCCTCAGTGTAACGGTACGCCCCGGGGCGCTAGGCGCAGGAGCAGGCAAGCCACAACTATAAGAATTGGGTGCCAGGCGCGGCTGGCAAGGAGCCAGCCACCTTATGTTAGAGTCCGGACCCGGCAGCTTATAACCATGGCACTCAGAGCCTATCATTACAATTCCTCTAACTGTAATTAGCTCGGGAGTCAGAGCAGACAAGTAAGACACACCATATAAAAATGAGTGCCAGATACAATTACCACTCCACGACAGCAATATATAAAATTTAACCTGCATGTTCTTCACCACATCACACCCTCCCGTACACTCAACGTACGTCCTTCACCATCGTCCAGATATGTACACAACCAGCGTTTCATGCCTTATCACAATAAAAGTCCTGGTTCCCCCTACAGTCAGCTAGGTCTCTTCGGGAGTTCCTCTCTGTTATGCTCCCCGGTTGTGTATGTTGTATTGTAGACAACAAGGCAGGAACTGCCCTTGCGATTGGGCCGGAGAAAACAGCGGGTTGAGGCGTGATTGAAAGAGATAGGGCAAGATACCTATCCTTTCAATTCACTCCCTTCGCTGATATATCTATGTATATATATTTTTTTTATACATATTACGCGTAGGCTCTGAACGGGGCAGCTAGCAGGTAGATTTCTAGAAAAGCTATCTTATGAGAGGGCTAGAGTTAGCTACATCATTTAAGAGAAGAACTAGACATAAAACAAAGCCCTCTTTCACTTACATGTGCTCATGTTTTTCACCACCTTTTTCAAAACATTTGCTCTGCAAAGATGTATCGTGTAGGGCACTACTGCAGCACTGACAGTCCCGAATAATGGGGATTTTCCTAGTTTAATTGAAAAATGCAAAAATGAATGTCAGCAATTCGCGCATGAATTGAAGAGATGTGAGTGAGGAAATTGACATTTTTGATAGTTTGTAGTTCCGGGGGAAATAAATCATGAAACATACTGGCAAGCTGATTTTCTCAACTGAAGAAAGACCCTCTGCTACGGTCTCGCTAATCAAGGCCGGCTCACGAGCTTTACAGCGCTTCATTAGTTAGATAACATATTATGTAGATGGGATATGATAGCCGATGAGGCAATGAAAGCATCGCAGATCTAGCTCCTTCCATACATGCCTAGATAGGTAGTTTATCTCACGATAGAAGACATGATGATGATGAGATGTGATAACCAGCTATCATTGAACTGCGTAGGCAGATAAGTTAAGCCCTGCCTCGCTCATTTCCCGCTCGTGATTAATAATTATCATCATCATAGTCTGTTTGTAATGCATTTTCGCAATGTCAAACTAGAGTCATGATCAAACCGGACCTTCGTCTAGTCCTGATGAGTGAGGCTTCAATTTTGATATCGTTATCACTTGAAAGTTTGCAAAGTTGAAATTTTGACCAAGACAGACAGAAAGAAGAAATAAAGGGATGGTATGTTTTGCATGTAATGTTTTGCATGTAATGATGTTGCCTGGTGTTATGAACTTCAAGAATTCAGTGTTGCTGGGGAGAATGAGATTGTAAAGAGCTACTCACTTACGTGATAACTACATATTCTCATAACTAGTGCATTCTGAGAAACACTCATCTTTTTCCATCTTTTATCCTTCCTCTTCTCGATAGATAGATAGAAGAATGAACTTATTCTCTTTTCCTTACAAGATTGCCTGATTCAGACATAGTGTACTTGCAGAATTTCACTCAGCATCTTACAACAGATAAGAGTTCATTCAGACGAACCCCTCTCTTCCTTGACAGAGATGTAGCTAACTACTGAACACGAGATTCCCGGGCCGAAAGGCGTGCTAGCTTATCACACAATTTCGCAGCCAACATTCCTGCTCTAGATGGTTTGCAGCCTTGCCCTGTCTACCAAGAGTAGAATTCCCTTGAGCAGCCGGCGGGGGCCGGAAAAGGAAAAAGTTGGCAAAGCTTTCTGTTATCACTACCTAGGGATATAGAATATAAGAGAAAGGATTGGTGTTGATATATACCAGGTTGCGGCCGCCGGCCGGCGTTATCAAAGTTCAGGTCAGACCACACTCACTCATACATGTACCTGTACATTACATTGCCCATGAAAAGGCATGATGTGTTGGGAGGTGTGTTGGGCCAAGAAGAAGCGACGGGTTCGATTGCGGTCTTCGACCACCACCTCAATTCTTTACCAGGGGGGAGATAGCTGTGGGTTGTTTGAGTAGGAGGGATGGGTGGCCGGGTGGCGCAGAATATTCATCATCATGTTGGTAAGTGGGCTGCTTACATAGTTTTATCCTGGAAGATTTCAAATATTTGCCATTGCATGAGCTCCTTGCTGAGTTATCTAACTCCTTGTCAAAGTAGTATGAATGGTTTGCCATGCATCATCAAGGATGAATTAAAGTGGTGATTAGCACATGTTAAGTGAGATAGTGAGAGGGTTGAATTATCTCTCAAATCATTTTGAACAAGTGTTAGGGCCTGTTCGGTGCGTCCGTACTTTTTGAACACAATAGTGGATCTCATTAAAAATAGTGTATTTACCAATTATTAGTAGCAAGCCGGCGTTGTGCCATCACACTATTCCATCTTACCCTCTGCTCTGAGATGGAGAAAGGAAGCTCACAAAAATGTGTTCTTTTTGAACAGAGTCCAGAGTCAGTTTAAAAAGAATGTGTTTTTGTGAGCTTTCTTCTAACTAATATTAGTTAACTATCTTCACTATGAACACTATTCTCACTATATTATCTCTAAAAGTGTTATTCTACACTATCATACACTGTTGAAGTTAAATACTGCTTATTCATAAGATCTTGATAAGAGATGCAAGTACAGTCACTCAATTCACTGAACATCTGATCATTTTCATCTGTACTTTGTAAAAAGCAGCTGTATTATTAGTACAGACACTCTGCCCACTGAACAGTCATGATATTGAGGCCGTACTTTTTAAAAAAAGTGGAGATCTGTACAAAAAGAATGAGTACACACGGACGCACCGAACAGGCCCTTTAGTTGATCTCAAAAGCTTTCAGAAACTCAACTAATAGACATTGCAATTATTTTTCATGTATCTTATTCAACAGATTCATTTTAATGTTCATATCTCAGAAAGTCATATATCTTCGGTTTCACTCTAATCTTTTTATCAGATCACAAGAATATCAGATATATTCATATTCTCATACTTATCGCCGAGGAATTTATCTCAAAGAAGTTCATTCACATGTCAATGTTCAACAATCTCTGCAATGAGATTTTCAAGAATATCAAATCTTGCACATGAGGACATTAGCTGTGATTAGTAGATTCTTGATAAAGAATGATTTCTCAAGAATGATTCTTGAACAACAGTCACAGCAGTAGCAGAAGTACATAATGAAGCGAAACTCTCTCAGAGATATGTTGCTCCATAAAAGCGCTATTATACTCTTTGTGGTGCAAGGTCAAGGGTCACTGATGAGTCCCTTCACAGTTGTCAGCTTGTTTAATGCTCTTCTTCATATCTTCATTTGAAGTATGCATATACATACATCACCGGGTCCCCGGGCCTCGCGTGGGCAATGAGGGTTATCTCTTGTTCCTCAAGGTGTAGAGGTCCTTAACCGCTACTATCAATCAATCTCACCATCGTTCCCATCCACGGAACACATGGATATTCCGTATACTCGAGTCCGGGTGTGGATGGACGACATTAGATCATCTTGCAGTACTTTTGAGTGAGAAGAAGTAGAAACCCTATAAGCTTATAAACAGCTCTGCCTGGAAATATATCGTGCGGGGAAATATCATCACCATCCCTTTTTCCCAAGCCATTATTCATTCACTCCAGGCATTGTCTGATCATCAGCGAATCTCCATAGGTTTCGCCTTTCCAGTGATTGAGAATCGACTCACTGGTCATAGCTGCTCAGAGTCCATGCGCGAGGCCGCAGGGTCAGTGCTTTTAACCTCAAGGTCCAGATGTCCAGCCGGCAGTTGCTGCTAGAATAAAAAGCTCATGAGGATAATGAGGATAAATAGGGAATGTCTCAGTCTAGTCCAACGCTACAATTGGATACAAAGACATCAAGAACTGGAAAACGGAGATTTCCCCTGCCGGATAAGATTTGTTATAGTCGAAGCTTCAGATTGCAGCGCTGATGAGGCGGACTTGATAAGAAGCTCAGGGGCATCTCTTCAAGGTGGAATCTTGTAGATCGATTGTAATGGAAGCCTATCATGGAATTGAGTGAGAACGTGAGACCTTGAACTGGAGGGGACATAGTTCAGGTGCCGTTTGAGATTGGCGCCAGCTACATAGTTAACTTACATATTTGGATTTTTTTTTTTTTTTGACTTTTTTTTGACTTATTTAGCATGCCAAATCAGGTCAAATTATATTGCAAGGCTTCAACCCGGCAACTATCTCTTCCTACTGCTCTGTATTAATATTATACCCGAGTACCTTTTCTGTTAATATTTATATGCCGCATGTAAGCAGAGATTTCAATCTAACCCAGAGACGAGGATAATGTAAGCACTTGACTTCTTCTGTACAGCAACCCGTCTCTGTGAAGATATCCGGTTTCCAGCGCCGCTCAGCACGACAGGGAAATCCGTGGCTATTCGTTATGTTATTATGGGTGGGTCTCGGCCGCAGACGCCAAATCGGCTAGTAGTGCCTGGAACGAAACACACGCAAAAGTCGGGGAATCAAATATATTGCGAATCCTGGTTATCACCGGCAGCTGACTGCAGCACCCACGTTGTGAGAAGTTTTCTTTTTCTTTGTCTTTTTTCTTTTTCGTTTTTTTCTTTCGTTGGGAGACAAATCCGGAAGATTCGTCCGAGAAGTGAGTGTTTTTTCCCAGAATTCGCCTAATACATACCGTATCCCGTATCCTAACTTGTTTAAGTGGGACGACGGGATGTTGTTGTTGCTTGCGGAAACAGCGCGGGCGCGGAGACAAGGTTTGCTAGCACTGTATGAGAACTATAAAAAAGCAAAAGAAAAAAAAAGAAAAAAAAAAAGAAAAAAAGAAAGGAAAAGACAAAAAGAAGCGGGGGATCGGATCAAGCAGCAGCGGGACTGCCTAGCAGCTTTCCCCGTGAACACTGACCCAAACAACGATGGAGATCGCAGAGCACAATTGAACTTCCATGCGGCTACCGCGGGCAAATGGATGTGGAGAGGAAGTCAACTCTATGAAGTATAACTCTTTGTTTCTGTTGAAACGAAGCTTCGGCCGAAACTGATCAAATATTCATACTCCCCCGCTTCTTCTTTCTGTTGTTGATGGTGATCATGATGGTTATTATCATTATTATCATTATTATCATTTTTCTTTTCTTTTTTTTCCTTCTCACTTCTGACATGCCTCCCGCCGCCGCCACCGCCGCCGCCGCCGCCACCAACAACCAGCATGCATGCATTCCATCCACCCCCATGCCAAAATCCCAAACAACCGGGAACGGGGATTGTATCCCAGAAAATTCCCCCATCCCCATCCTCCGCAAAAAATGGAGATTAATAATAACGATGCCCCCATATATTCTCAATTGGCCGGGGTAATTTTCAAGTCATGAGAGTAAGAGTAACGATCATCAATCATCGGTAGTAATAAAGATCTGTAATTCCATTGAATACCTCACCACGACGCTTCTTTTCACTGTTCCAGCCTTGGTCTCAAAATAATAATAATAATAATAAAAATAAAAATAAAAATAAAAATAAAAATAAAATAAAGAGAACTAAATTGCCGCAACGCAGCTCTTTCATAGACAATGAACTTTGGAAGCAATGATGATGAATGAACCATGAAGATTCAAATGGCCATCATTTTGAAGGGGGTGAAAAAATACAAACTCTGTACGCTGCGTAAGTCATAATTCTATACTCCGTACAGACTTTTGAGGAGGTTTGAGCAAAATAAAATTGCCAAGATGGAGTCAAAAATCTCCATTTATTCATTATTTGTTGAACATAACTAAACACCCACCCACAATGGAAAATCCCTTGAATGAGAAAGAGAAATCTGACGACGCCCCCACGCTGTTCTGGTCGTCATTTGCTCAATTCATCACATCATTTCCTGCCAATCTTCTTGGGTTTGGATTCAGGGGACTAATAAGCTTAGCTTTGATAAAAACTAAATTCTTGTAAAAATAATAATAATAATAATAATAAATACAGCAAATCTAGCCAGTAATTATGAGCATACTTTGAGAGAAGAAATATGATTTTATATAATATGAATGAAGTAGAAAGCATGAAGTATGAGAGAGAATAGATAGAGAGATACGTGTACATACCTTATATATTTAATTCATTTCTCAATAAGTTTGAATTACACTAGTCTCAAAACACTTTGATATGCTCTGTTTTATTAAAAATACTACAATTTGTAAAAAGGTTTTTGTATTCAGAGCTGGAATTTTTCTAATTTTGCATATCTGAAATTGGTAAATGTATACGGAGTACGGAGTATTAGTTAGCTGAATAAGTACTAGAAAAACCCTGAGAGCTGAAGTAGATGTCATAGTCTCTGACTGCATACATCTATAATTGAAGAAGAAGAAGAAGAAGAAGAATAAGAATAATAAGAATACTCTGTTTTATTATCATAATTAGATATAATTCTCTCAATACTTCGCAGTCACATAATTCAACATTAAATAGATAAATTATACAGAATTCTCTTATCTATTGAATTTCACATCTCTTTTGAAGAAAATGAATAGAATAGAATAATAACTTCAAGAGGTATATTTAAGCATCATGTGGCTTTATAACTTCTGGCTAATTACTCTGGATTTAACTACCTCGAGACTTAGTGTAATTTGGCTGAAAGTCACTGTACATATTGAAAGTAAATTAGCATATGCGTAAAAACAAGCGAGAGATCGCTAAGAGAAAAGCCACGACCACCATCATCGCCACCCACCCACCTCACCTACCCCACCCCCAAACCCCCCAACCAACCCCAACCCAAACTAATCCTTGGTACCTTTTTGGAGGCCATCTGGGGTAAGGTAACTTCATCGATTCGAGCTATCTAGCGGAGCTGAAAATCCGGAGAAAACTCTTGGCCTCCATCAGGCATGGTTATCGTGATGGGAGTTTGCCAGTTATTAACTACGTACTACGTACTACGTACGCAGTATTCCATAGAGGGATCGGTTAAAAAATAAACTAGTGGCGGTCGTTACTTTTGGGCGCTCTGGGGGAAAAATGATATTCTTGGAAAGTGGGCTTTTGTTACATGCATACAGAGTCCAATATGCATCTCTATTATGTTGGTTTAATCGTGTTTTCCTTGTCGTTACATGTCCAGGTGGTGGAGAGCGAAGCGACAAAAGGGAATTTGTGGGGAAAAAAAAAAAGGAATCAAACAATCTTGATTGTCAGCGTAGAGTTACATGGTGTTGTTTGTTATCGCTTCTTTATACCCGAGATATTGGTTTTTTTTTTTTTTTTTTTTTTTTTTTTTTTTTTCCCTTTACGCTTCGCTTCAGTTCAGTTCAGCCGCGGAGGTCGTCGGTTTCCCAGGATTGGATGGACACGGCCTGTGGAGGCGAGAGAGAGAGTTTAATCCTAGATAGGATAGGCGGAGGCTCCAGGCGGACTTAAAATAGAAGCGGGGGGAATACGTCTTACGCGTAGCAGAGGCCCTTATTTTGATGCTGAAACGTTTAAACCAGGAGTCTCAGCGCGAATCCATCTTCTTCTCTCTAACTCGTATGAGTTCAACTTTGTCTTCCAACAGGAATCAGAAGATGGGTTTTCCGGGGCGCATGACTGATTGATTGGTTTTCAAGCTGTCCAGCAAACGACAAATAGAATCATGCCGAGGCTCGCACATCCCAGGTTGTTCGCTTATTAGGGGTCCCCTACGCCTCAAACGACTGCGGGCCTCATCCCCGGATTCTCCCATCCGGCCCGCCCAGCCCAACAAGTCCTTCAAGGGTGTTGTCAACTCTCTGACAATTTATTAGTCTGTAGAGAGACTAGAGAGTGGGGGGAAGGGTGGGATGAAACTGAGAAAGTATGGGGTTTCGGATATTTTGACTTGTATCATCTTTAGTTTTTTTTTTTTTTTTCTCCCTCCCCAAAACTTCCTTGTTAAAATTGAATAGTATAGTGCAACAGATGCGGAAGACCCCTTATCATCTCCCAAGGTGTTTTGAATGGTCAGGTTTCTGATATGGGGTTTTCTGGGGTTAAAAAGTTACACTCAACCTTTTTCTTCTCCTGTTCCTTTCGATTTTGGGGGGGGGGTTGCAAAATTGCAACCCTCATTGGCGAGGATTATTGGGAGGATTACATTGTGCTTGCTCGCGAGGCGGACTGCAATGCCCGATGTGTCATTGTTGAGTTTAAATGATGTGACAGTTTTGGGGGGAAGGAATGCTGAGGCTGGCACGAACGCGCGTGGGTTGCTGGTGACTTTTGAGAGGGTGGTGTGCGGGCTCGGATGCCAATAATAATGATGGACTGCATTGCATACCCACCGGTTGGAAGGGCACGATAGGTTGCGATGACACTTGATGAGAGAGAGGTTACGCGACGGAAATTTTAAAAGCGCCTGCCCCGGGCGCCTGGCGTCGGTGATGATGGGGTGACAAGGGACATTGGTGGAAGGAATTGGTTGGGGGTCAACAGCTAGAACTGGAACTTGACCTTGAACTTGGAGGGTTTGAGCTGGCAGGCTTCAAATCTTGAGCTTTTCATTTTCTTTTCTTTTTAGTGTTTGCTTCATTTTCTCCTCTTATGATCTCTCTGGCTCTCTTGCGGGCGTTCGGGTTTTTCCCTTGCCGCGGGTAACCAGTGATGTAACTAATCAGCAAGGTCAGACAAGAAGAGATATAATAATTGAGGCGGTGAGCGCATACAAAATTGAGTGACTCAAGACCTGAGATTGAGTTGAAAATAACCATGCACTTTCTTTATGTCAAATGGCTCAAGCTTTTTTTTTTTTTTTTTTTTTTTTTTTTTTTTTTTTTTTTTTTTTTTTCCTTTCATTTAGACGTTAGCATTGATCTGATAAATCTGATAAATAATCTGATCAACAGGCTAGACCTGATTTCTGCAGAAGTGCTTTCTATGCTCGTTGTCACTATCTATGCATGATCACTGTGCATGTGCTGGATGGGATGTGCAGCGCCTTAATAAGTGATCGGGCAACTTTGAGTAAGTGACGAACTCTATTCCGTACACGCCATTTTTCGGTACGGCTGGCAGGGCGTGATCGGTCTTTTGCAAAAATACACAAAAACCAAAAACAGCAATCACTAGAGAAAATTCTTTCATTCAAAAAAAAAAAAAAAAAAAAGAAAAAAAAAAAAAAGAAACTCCGTAGGTAGCAGCGGCTGAAAACAGACTCACCACGCCTGAATACAATTTTAACCGCAGTTAGTTAGTTAACTATGCTCGAAAATACTCGAACGAATCTGACATAATTTTCGTTCAAGAGCTTTCCCCCGAGATTTCCCCTGAGCAATCCACAATGTTGCAAGCAGATGTTCTCAATAATATACTTTTCCCTAAGTATGGACGTAATCTCAGGTGAAAAGAAACAAAGAGAATCGTGAGTGAATAGCAGTATATAGAGCACAGGCTAAAGAACAGGTTGGGTGAAGAGTATTTATTTAGTATTTAAAGTAGAAAGTAATGAATTCAAGCTAAAACTTCTATAAAAAAAGTGAGAAAAAATAATAATAATCAGTTTCATTCTTCAGTCTGTTGTGTAATATACTAATATTAATATCATGCCACTTATGAGTAGTTTCAAGCTCTTAGATAATATGAAAGAATGAAAGAAAATAACAGCTTCAGGTAAATTCACAGCTCACAGAATTCAAAGATAATCAGCTAATATTATTATTGCATGTGATCACTGATCACAGACTTCTTTCATGTCTCTAAAAAGTTTGAAATCATGACAATATGTGAGAGAGAAATATAAGTAGGTAAATGAAATTATGAAACAGAGAAGATTTTATTTTTACAGAGTTTAAAGTATAAAAAAGAAGAGAGAGATAATAAGATACTCTTACTGAAATATGAAGAATACATGTCTATGCCTACTAGCTATCAATTTCTGTTCTTCTCTCATTTTTAACATGTGATAATTATTAGTGATCAATCACTATCTTAGCTTAGAATACTTGAGTTTTGAACTAAAAAAGTAACTTAACTTACAGTAAACTCTGACTTTATCTATGAGTACAATCATCATCTTGTTTCCGAGTCATAATGACATGCTTGTGAATGCATGATAAGTAAAATAGACTAGATACAGAGAACAGCTCTAATAGAATGAACAAGCTTTTAAAATAGATATACACAATTCTACCTCAGCACCTGAATACTTGAGCTAAGTAGCTACTTCTCTACTGTGTGTACTCACTCACACACACATCTACTCCTCCCCCCCCCTTCTCTCTTAGTACAACTCAGAGCTACTTTCTGCCTGCTTGTGACTATTCTCGCATACGTATCATATCAGAGACTCTGTTCCAGCCCACGAGGTTAGTTAGCAATAGAAACTCCTGGGCTAAATGCACTCCCCAGTCTACTCCGTGCATAACTTATTTATACCCCGCCTCTCTCTCTCTTGTCTCTACTCCGTGCTTCTCATCTAACTCTGGAGGAATATTGGAGATGTAGCACCAGAGGAGCATGTATGTACATGTACAAGTTAAAAAGAGAGCTCTGAACAGTGATAACAGCAGCAGTTGTAATCTCAACTTCAATATTTAAAGTTATCATAATGATGACAAGATTATAGCTCACTCTGCACAGTTAAAAGCTTTGAACTTATAGTGACTAATTATATTTTATTCGTTTACTCAACAAATACAAAAGCTTTCAGTTAGATTAATATGATATTTACAAGGCCTACTGCGTACATCATCAACAGTGCTGAATCATAGCAATCTAAAAAATTCCACGCAACAACCTTCTGTATCACGATGAGTAAGCGAAAAAATTTCCATTCAACCTCTTCCAACATTTCCCGGAAACACCAGCGGTAAAACCCCAACAACAACCAAACAATTGACAGGGGGTGTTCCGGGTTATTTTCGTGCAAGCGAGCGGATTAAAGTTATCTCCGAGCGTTCCCCCAACGGGCGCCCGGCTTTCCCTTCCCCATTTCTGGATTTGTTTTTTGAAAAAAAAATTTTTTGAAAAGAATTCCTCCGCCCCGCGTTCGTATGTTACGTAAGCCGGCGCGCCTTATTAGTTACGCCTTGGCCTTGGACGCCTCCCCGCGGCCCGATGATGAGGGTTTGGTTTTGGAGTTGCCTAGGTATAATTTTTTATTTTTCTTTATTATAGTATTTGAGGGGGAGGCGCTGTGAGTGGTGAGGGGGCAAAAGGGAGAGATGAATGAATATTCAAACATTCTAGATGAAAGCAAAGAGGGAAGGAAGAAAAGAGGTAGGGTAGAAGGTAAGCCACAATAAATGATTTGTATCAGAATCAGGTTTTATTGTTCTCATTTCCATACCATTCCGACGCTTGGGAACGAACGTGGGCGGCATGGAGGATCATTTGAATGGCAAACGGCAGCGGGCACCGGCATGCATGGTATGTATACAGGCATGGAGTAGATGTAGATAGATAGCTTGGATAGACATGGCCCGCGGAGTAGTATGATCATCATCAGAGCACGCACGAGGGACCCGGGGCGCGGTTATGAGTGCTCATACTTCCCCCCCCTCTCTCTTCCCATCTCTCTCTCTCTTTTTTTTTTTTTTTTTTTTTTCGTTTTTTTATTATTTTACTTCTTTTTATTATTTTGAGCGGGGGCCTGTGGGGGCGCTGCCGGATCGAATGCGAATACGGGGTGGGTGAGGTCACTGAGGTGAGGGTTGCGGGATGGGTGAGGCGGGGAATTAACTTGGGAGTTTCGGTCAGTCGGCCGGCGGCCGGTCGGTCAAATAATACATGAGTGAAGGATTATTTTTATTTTGTTTGATGGTGGCAGAGATGTGAAGATGGAGATGGAGATGAACCCCCCACTCTGCAGAGGCTGTGGTGGATGTTGGTGGTTTATTGAAGGCGATATATGTGGATAACTAAGCAAGTTTGCTCGCAATAAATGAGGGCCTGTAACGACGTCTGGGGTGTTGGTTGTATAGTGACTTGACACGTGTATACAAGTCAGAGGATGGATATAGTGAGCAAGCCCGGGAACTTGCCTGTTCAGCTACATAATATAATAATAATTATACCTAGGGACGTTCAAAAGTATTTAGCGAGAGGGTACAGAGTACATGTGCATGGAGCCATGCCAGGTACCATTTGTCTGGAATTCTCAGATGTAACTGCAAATACAAAATGTCACAGCGGAGATCGATCTCCCTTTTCCCTTCAACTATTTACGGAGTATTAGTTTCTTCTTTTTCTTTTCTTTTTTTCTTCACTAACTACTAGTCATTTCCCATTTGCCCCAGAAAATCCTTCCCATGTCAAATTAAACTCCGAGACTAGTAAGTCATATAACTCACCCAATCCCGGCGCGCATCTGCATCCCCCGTGGTGAGCTGCGCTGGGGGTCCAGGGCTGGGCCCAGGACTCCAGGGAGGGTGGTATAGGCAGCGTAGAGATGACCCAGCTACGTGAACACGCCACTTCATTTGGGCTGCAGTGACATTGGGTTGGACCTGATAAGCAGGGACCCGCCCACATCTTTTTGGTAAAAAGAACCAATCTTATATTCCCCTCTACTATTCAACAGAGAGGAGAGGAATGATGAGATGGCAGAGTAGAGTAGAAAGAAGCGAGCCGTGCGTGGACAATAGACATGAGAGGGAGAGAGTGTGGAGAAAGCCCCCTTTTTTTTTTTTTTTTTTTTTTTTTTTTTTTTTTTTGGCTTCTCACTCTCCGCGTTTCTCGGTACGGCCTCGGGTACAAGTCAGTCGCAGTAACAGCGGTAACTTTCTGGGAACTACGGAGTAGTTACTGGGTAACCTTTTCGTCCGTCATCGTCGTGCCTGGCAGAACCACCCAGACCACATGTAAATTTGCAGCCCTTTTTCCGTTTTGCAAAAAAGGGACCAGCGGGGCGAAATATTTGTAAGGGCAGAACGGTCGTTCGGTACAAGGTACAGGTACCTGCACAGCAATAATAGTTAATAGTAGAGTAGGTAACAAACAATGACTGACACATCCGCATCCAGGAAGAAGAAACAACGTTCTGTCCCGACTTTTTTTCTTTTCCCTTTTCCCCTTTTTTGCAGATTGTTTCCTAATTTTTCCTCTTTTCCGTCCGTCCCCCCCCAAGCCGCATCCTCTCCTTCCTTCCTTCCTTCCTCTCCAGCTTGTGACTGACTGACTTGTGCCGCCACCTCCAGCTTTTTATGTTCTTCTTCTTCTTCTTCTTCTTGTTGTTGTTGTTGTTTGTTCTTCTTCTGCTTCTTATTATTACTAACTAATGTCATGACAATAATATCATCCATTCATCCTCCTTCTTCCTCTTCTTCCTCTTCTTCCCCTTCTTCCTTCTGCTGACGACTACATATTAATTAAGTTAAAAATTGCCAACCAGACCCCCCTTTGTCTTCTTTTCCTCTGATTTATTGCCTCATTTGTATTTTTATTTTTTTTCCTTTCTTCTTGCTCTTCATTATATATATAAATAAGCTGGACTGTCTGTCCCCCCCGGGCCCTTTTTTTCCCCCCCCCCCCCCCCCCCCACACTTGCACCCCCAATCTCTCAGCCTTTTGCTGTGGTCACGCCTTGTTCCTACTACCTACTACTACCGCTACTACTACTACTACTACGACTACGTCTACTACTAGGTAGCGGTGGACCTCTTGTCTCTCTCCATCAAGTCCCAGCGCTGCCACTACTACTAATACCGCTACAAGGCGCCTATTTTCTATTTTCCTCCCCTCCATATTCGTCTCTCTTCTATCATCGTCAACTATTTATCATTACCATCACCATTACCATTACCATTACCACCACCACTACAACTATCACTACTTCTCCTGCACTCTACCAGGAGATACAAGGCATCCAAAATACCTCTTAGCTTGCCCACTGTCATCCCGGTGTAAATGCCACGGCCATCCACTGCAGTAGATTTCTCGAATCTGCTGAACCCGCAGGTTGACGACTCAAAGAAGCGGCCTGCTTCTGCTACAACTCTGACTTCCTCCCCTTCTTCAACGACGATGACAACAACAACAACAACCTCTCCCTCAACTCCTACCACTACCACTCCAGCCATGGCCTCTTCCACAGTCAGCCTGTTACCGCCGTTGGCAAAAGGTGGCCGTGCAAGCGGTGAAGAACCACGACAAAGCCTCCCTCGCCCGTACAAGTGTCCTCTTTGTGACCGTGCTTTCCACCGCCTGGAACACCAGACACGCCACATCCGCACCCATACCGGAGAGAAGCCACATGCCTGCCAGCATCCAGGCTGTTCCAAGCGGTTTAGCCGGTCAGACGAACTCACCCGCCATTCTCGCATCCACAACAATCCAAATTCGAGGAGAAGCCACAAGGCTGCCCACCACCAACAACAGCAGCAGCAGCAGCAGCAACAACAGCAACAACAGCAACACATTGCTCCCACCACCACAAGAGCGGATAGACCACACACCACCGCAAACTCCCCGTCGAGGGATATGATGCCTCCCCCTGGTAAACCCATGACCAGGTCAGCACCTGTCTCGCAGGTGGGCTCGCCAAATGTGTCTCCGCCGCATTCGTACACCAACTACGCTTCGCACATGCGATCCAGCCTAGGTCCCTACAGCAGAGGTGTATCCGAGAGACCGTCGACCACTATGGATATCAACATGCTAGCCACCGCAGCATCACAGGTAGAACGCGATGACCACTCATCAGGATACCACCTCTCTCCACACCAGGTCCGCAGCAGCCTGTACAACACTACCAGCCAAAGACCACATCACTACCACCACCACCATAACACCAGCGGCCGCCTACCTTCTCTCTCCGCCTACGCACTCTCCCACTCCATGGCCCGCTCTCACTCCCACGACGACGAAGACTACAGCCACCGCGTCAAACGCTCCCGCCCTTCCTCTCCAAATTCCACCGCTCCTTCGTCCCCCACCTTATCCCATGACTCGCTCTCCCCAACCCCAGACCACACTCCGCTAGCAACCCCTGCCCACTCACCCCGTCTCCGACCATTCGGGAGCAGCGACCTCCAACTCCCCTCCATCCGCCATCTATCTCTCCATCACACCCCAGCTCTGGCACCTATGGAGCCACAGACCGACGGCATGAACCATATGAACAATCACTACGTTTCCCCTCAGCATATAGGACCCAGCATCAGTGACATCATATCCCGCACAGATGGAACGCAGCGCAAGCTCCCGGTCCCTCAGATCCCCAAGGTTGCTGTGCATGATATGCTAAATCCTGGAAGTGGGTTTTCCTCGGGCAATTCATCGGTCACGGGATCGATAGCCGGTGGTGATTTGGGGGAGCGTTATTAAACCCACCCGCCAAAAAAATAAAAATGAAAATAAAAATATAAAAAATAAAAAGAACAGAAAAACAGAAAAACAAAAAGAAAAAGAAAACAAAAAGAAAAAGAAAACAAAAAGAAACAAAAAGAAACAAAAAAGACGAATACGTTACACCTTGCCTTTTTTTTTTTTTTTTTAGAATAATCTTTAGACGGTGGAGTAGAAAACTTGAACTTTACATATAGATTGGGGAGGGTGGAAACATTTTGGATTTCTCCTCTTTTTTTCCTTTGCCTCTCACGAAAACTTGTCTTTGCAGGGTTATCTTTCCTATTTGTCTAACTCCTTCTCTTTCCCGTCTTTTTTGTTGGTTTGCTTTGCCGGTGCTTTCAGCGATGCTTCGTTCGGAGTCCAAAAAACTATAGACGGATGGGATTAAATTTGCTGGGATTTTCATTTACAATCACGCTTGGATTTTTTTTTTTCCCCTTCTACTTTTCTTCCATTGTTTTGCTAATAAATTTCTTTTCTTCTCTTTCCTCTTTTTTGTTTTCATTTCAAGCTTCTCTCTACTCTCATGACTCTATATATTTTTGCCTTGTTCAGCTTTTTTTTTTTGGCATTGGAAAGACTTTTTGAAGAAAGAGAAAAAATAAAATCACACATGTTCTTCCCTCTTCTTTTGAATCCATTTTGCTTTCGGAAAGGCGAAAAGGAAAAAGCAAAAACTATATTTTACAAAAATTTTAATGCGCAGAGAGAAATGGACTCGAGATATATATAATATTTCATGACTTGAATGAAGCGAGTCCAAAAAGGGGAAAAGGGGGAAGATGTGAGTTTCAGCTGATTGATTGACTGATTGATTGATTGATTCTCTCTTCTCTTTCTTTTTTCATTTTTGAAATTAATAGAAAACATCTTCTCTCTTAATAATAATCTATCTATATAGAAAATAAATAATCAGAAGAATTTTATTGTATGATTATTGCCGCATTATACATCTATCGTCCGGGTATGTACGGTATTGTACCGAGGTATACTGTGTAGCTAACCTACCTAGGAAGTTACTCTGTACTGAAGCTTCCCCCCGGCCGTTAGAAGTTAGGCACTGAGACGCGGGCCGAGGGCGGACGGAGAGAGAGGGATAAAGGCATCAGGCAACGATATTAATTTTCATTGAGTCATGGCCAATGTTGGGTTGGGCACTGCGAGGTTGGCTTGGATGTTGTGGCTTTTTTGCTGGTTAGGTTACTGTACGGAGTAATGTAACCCACTCAAGCTGAGAAGGGGGACAGACACTATATACGTACTTTACTTACTTGCCTTGGTCTTGGTCTTGGTTCTGGTCTGGTCTGGTCTGGTTTCGAGATCATATTATCATATCGATCGGGGGTATCCAACTTCGGTTTTCTTGGGTTATTATTAGTTTGTTCATAAACTATATAACTAGGTTCTAGCTAGGTATTAACTAAGTTAGTTACTTCGTCAGTTCCCCCAAATCCTAACCTCTTACCCCGTTCCTGTGGTTGGTGTCCCGGCATCCCGGCATCCCGTCCCGAAGGAGATGTCATTGCACGAACGATGGGGGGATTGATTATTAGGTAGTTATTCATATCCTCCTATTCTATCTCTATCTAGGTACGGGGGCGGGCCCCACCCGGGCAAGGGGGAAGAGATTCAAGTCTGGCCAACGGCGATAGCGATGGGCCATGGCCATGACGATTCATCTATCGCCACTCTCTCTAGAGACCTCTACCAACCCTCTTCCCTACCCCCCGTCCGAGGCATGGAGCATGGAGCATGGAGCATGGATAGAGATTGCCGAACTTTCTTTACCTTACTTACCCGGCGGCGGCTAAAAGAAGAGAAAAAATAAAAAATAAATAAAAATAAAATAAAAAAAAAAAAAGAAAAAGAAAAAGGAAAAATAAGTTTGCCTAGGATAATTCAATCAATGCTCTAGGACATACATTAATTAAATATTTATCGATGCGCTCGGCTGATCTTCGGCTTAGTTACCTAGGTACAAAGTACAAAGTATGTTAGTTAGTATGTAGGTCGGTCCCGGATGTTGTTTTGCCGTTGCAGCCCCGTGAACGCTAGGCTGCCAGGGCTGGAAGTTGGGCTCAAACAACTAATAACTAATAGAGTTTTGCGCTTGCTGAGGAATTATTTTTGGAGGAACTTGGGTTTCTTTTTTTTTATTTTTTTTATATTTTAATTTAATTATTTTTTATTTTAGGTTGGGGTTGGGGTTGGGTTGGGTGGAGTTAGAGTGCAGTACGGAGTACGCAGTAGTGAAGATGATGGTGTTGGCAGGATGCTCTCTCTCTGTGGAGTTAGGCTCAATGAATAATAATAATGCTGTGCAGGACCAGCTAAGTTACTCCGTAGTAGTTAGCAGCTAAGCCCGCACAGCCACGGAAAAACACCCAAATCATTCAAGTAGGGATTGATTACAAGGAACTGGCATCTGGTTTCCTCATAGAGACTAGACCCATAGTTACATATAAAAACATAAACCAACAATGCAAAGAAAAAAATGCTCAAATCCACTCTTTCTGTTAATGATATTACTTACCCTCTCTCTGAGTCAGTTTGTTCAAACAACACTGAAGAATTGAAACTCATTATTTCTTGTATTTTTATAATTTTCATCATTTCTCATCATTGTTTGCACTGTGATCTAGTATTGATATGAATCATATGATTATTCATTCTCTGGCAGTAAGTATATTGTGAGAGAACTCTCTCTTTTATAAAAAGATATCCTGATATTATTCTCTTGTAAATGATAATTATTGTAGAGCTCGCTTCGCTATAGAAGATTGACTTTTGACATCTCAAAGCTCTTTTCGTTGTAGAAGACGAAAGTATTAATAGCATTTGAATAAGAGAAGACAATTCTTTGATGAAAAGAAGTAGTGCTTAAAAAGCGTATTGAAATAATGCGAGACTTGAAACCTCATCATGAGACTGCAGAGCTAGATAGATAGATATACTGCATACATAGCACACAGTAGCAAGAGCAAGCGGGCAAGCGAGGAGAGGAGGCTGACTCAGCACCCGAAACTATAAATAGTCTCATCATTCAATATAAAGACCTAACTACTAGTCTACGTCCGACGTTCCCATTCATTATCTTCGTTTCTCAACATCGTTTCATAACCTCAAAGGGACTCAGTTGTTACATTGAAGAGATTATTGCATGATATATAATGCTTTGTAGAAGTGCAAGAGCTTCATAATATCTGTGGGATGTTGGAACATGGTTGTTAATATCTATCTAGTGGCTAGCGGCTGTGTGTATTGAGTGGAATAGGGCTGGATTAGTGTACAATGGGGTGGGATGACGTAAGGTCATGTGATTTTATTTTTATTTTTATTTTTATTCGTTCGGAGAATAGTTGGAGGGGCGGAGATGGGAGAGGGGACAGTAGAGAAAATGAATGTGGTAGATAGAGAGGAATAGATGGGATATTGGAGAGGTATTACGGGGTAGAAAAGAATGAGGTGAGTTGACTTCTTGGAGGTCCTCCTCTTGTGGTATGAGATGTGTAAAGGAATATGCATATAGATTGAAAAGATATATAGAGAGCTAAAACCATATCAGAGTGCATATGGTAGAGAGTTATATATGTATGAGGTGCGAAAAAAAAAAGATAGGGGAACGGAAACGATGTTGATGGTCAAAAAACTATGATAAGATATAATAAAAAAAGAGGAAATTAGAAACGGTGGTAAGAACAGGCAATGAGATATAGAGACAGTACAGAGGATAGCTAATGATGATGAGGAGACTAAAAACAGAAACACAACAGAGAAGATAGATAATAAGCAGTAGAGAAAAAAAAAGAGATGAAAGAGACAAAAATGAAAATGAAGCACAAGTTCGAGTATCTGATATTTCCATACACGTTGCGCGCCCCCCCACCTCTTTCTGCAAACGGAGACACCCATTTCATCGTATCTGTTCACACTCCTTCGTTCGATATCATAAAGGCCTCCCTCAATTGAATATCTATTGCCTCCATCCACTTGCCCATCGTCACTGGCAGCCGGTACAAAGTTTTCCCTTGCGGTACTAAAAAGGTTAATAAAAAAGCTCTTTAGCGATTTCTACCTAAAAAAAAAGAAAAAGAAAAAAAAAGTATATCTCATTTCCCATCACTATCCCATATTCCCAACTCCCCTCCCCCCCTCCTTTTTTCTTCCCCCTCTTATCGCTTGCGTTTCGTAGATTTTCCTTTCTTTATTCTTGTTTGTCTGTTTCTTCCTTTAGCCATTTCGCGCGGCGCGGCTCCTAACAACTGCACTCGCCACCCGTCACTCAACGAAGCTTGCAAGCCGTTCGTCCCTCAAAGCCCATATACCAATATACCGACTTTCATTTCCACGCATTTAACCCCGCCCACGGGTCATTGCTATTACTCTGCCCACCAGACGGGCCCTGCGGCGTCTGCGACGGATGCTGCTGCTGCATGGCACTGTACGGCCGCGGCTGCATGTATCCCGCCGGCGGATACGGCGCGCTGGACTGCGGGTAGGGCGACTGAGATGGCCGCGGGGGCGGTGGAGGCGGTATGTACCCCTGCGGCATGAACTGGGTGGGTTGCTGCGGGCTGGCGTAGCCGTATTGTGATGGGGAGAAGTATTGTTGGTTTGGTGGGGGGGAGATGGGGGGTTGGTAGAGGTAGGCCATGGGGTTGTAGCCTTCTGCGGAGGGGGCGACGCCGGGGGGTCCTTGTTGGGGGTATTGTTGTGGCTGTTGTTGTTGTTGTTGTTGCAGTGGTGGTTGTGGTTGTGGTTGTGGTTGTGGTTGTTGCTGTTGTTGTCCGGTCATGTATTGGCTGGTGGAGGGGTAGGACATGGTGTTGTGGTGAGTTGAAATGGACGGGGAGCGGCCGGGGGTAGTCTTTAGAGGGGATGGGCGAGGTTTTGATGAGGAGGATGTTGGTTGTGATTGAGGGCTGGTTTCTACGGAGAGACGCTCCATCAGGGATTTTAACTTTTCACGCTCCCGGTCCTCCTGGCTGGACTGGTGGTGGGCTTTGTCTCGTTCGATCTGACTGAGGAGTTGCGCGCCTTCTGATCGTCTGTTGTTGACAAATGTATCGACATTTTTCCGTAGGCTGTCCACCGTATCCTTCATCTCCGCGTAGAAGGCTTGCGCTTGCTGTAGGCCCGAATTAATGTCTTTGAAGGCGTTGTATATCTTTTTATATTTGGACATAACCGAGTTCCTCTGTCGTGTGAGCACTTCGTACTTGGACTGCTCTGATCTGACTCTGTTATCCTGGAGCAGGTCGCCATAAACTTTTGTAAGTTCCTTCATGAGCGCCGTTTGTTTGTGGTTTGCTTGTAGTAGTCGATTTTGGTGAGGTCGGAATTTCTCAAGCTCTGTTTGGAACAATTGATTTTCTTGGTTGGCGATAGATTTCTTGTTCAGTATCAGGACATTGGAAATATCATCATTATGCACCTAAGTTCCGTTAGCATTTGTTGACATTTAAATTGCTCAACAAAGTATCTCATAGGACAGTGCAAACCTTCTCTTTCAGATCCTTCAAAATCTGATTCCTATCTCTTTTCACAAGATTCAGCTTTCGAAGTAGCTCCTCCACCCTCGCGATCTGCTCAGCAACAGACGCCCCCGCTTCGAAATCATCGCCTAGGAGGTTTGTCTCCGGAGCAGCAGTATAAGGGCTACCATGCCCATTTCGGCCTTTGCCTTTTCCGCCAACCTTAATTAGAGCCCTTTGGAACAAAACATCAGCTTCGTCGGTTTCCCCGGCGGAGCGCATTTCCTCGAAGTCAGTTTCATGTTGTCTCAGGTTCACGAGAAGCTGCGAGTCGCTGGAACTGGCTTCGCCGATGGTATCACGGTAGCTTCGAATATCACTGCGCAAGGTCGATGTTAATCGGGAACTGGGCTGCTGTACCCAGTCCGCTCCGTACTTGGACCGCATCTTTTCACAAACACTCTCTTCCATATCCAGTTGCTTAGAGCATTGATCCAATACGCTTAATATGGATATTTTTTCCTCCTGCACCTCGTTGAAAGCTTCGCGAAAAGGAGGCGCATCAGCCAATTCATCACACCACATCTTAAAATCTTCATCGACATCCATATCCTGGTCCATTCCTCCCTTCAAAATGTTCAGGCTTCCTGGTAATTTGAGGTAGTCAAGACTGGCAGCCATTTCACCATTCGCGGCCTCAACTTTCTCCGCCTCTGCACGAACCAGCTTCGCTTTCTCCTCATCGTACAAACTTGCTGATTCTGTAACGGACATTGGAACAATCTTTTGAAAAATGTCCGGCCCGATTATCCTCTGTATATCTTGTCCTTGGTATAACTCACTAACCGACATTGCTTTTGCAGCGGGCAACTTCGCGATGGTCGATAAACTGGGCTCAGAAGGGATTGGTTGGTGGTATATAAAATCGTTATCCTTGTTAAACAATGCCAGTTTTTCCTGGATATTCGCCAGCTGTCGCCGTGTGAGATCGAGTAAGATCGGACCAGTATCCGCGCTTAGGTTTGAGCCTGCGGGGGGAGAGGATGGAAAAGACTTCGCCCAACTCATTGCTGAGGTAGCCTGCTTTTCAGCCAGCTGGAGTCGGGCGATGGATATTCCGTAGAGAGCCCCTTCGTCATCTGCAATGGCTTGGTAGTAACCAGCGACAGCAGCTAGAAGGGAGGCTTTTATTTGAATGACAATCGACCACACTTTCTCAAATATGCCCTTCGCCACATTTTCCTGTACACCTTCTGCAGCTTGTGAGTAGAGATATGCTGCCTGGCTTGCGAGCTTAGCCAGAAACCCTGGTTTCTTCTCATCAGCTATCTGCTTCTCCAAGAAAACCTCCTGGCCCTGCGCAAGCATTATCGATATCAGCGTTTTAACGGTGTCCCTACTCAGATCCGTCGAAGGGGCATGTAGGAAGTTTTCGTTGATATAAGTGAACATTCCCGCAGAGGCTTGGAAGGAGTGATAAGCGGTCTTCAGCCCAGTGTCTTCAGATCGGTCTTGGTTCGCCGCATGGCACGATAGAACGGCGGATATATTGAAGATAATCGAAGCCTTCTCATACGCCAATGAGTATTGAGATGTTGGCTTGTGTGTAAACGCATCATACCTGCCAAGTGTTGTAAAAGAACAATAAGTTAGAAAAAAAGAAGCCGGAGCAAGCAAAAAATCATAGCGGAATTGATTGCTCATGTAGCATGGCAGACTTTACCAGGTGAAGGATATTTTGATATGGTTCTCATCCACCGGAAACCGCAAATCCAGCAGTTCAAGCTGGCCATAATACCGATATAGTAAATCCCGCCCAGCCGCGCTATCCTTGCCAGCACCTCTCATATCCTGCCGCAGCCTGTTCAACGTTGCGCATTCCTCCGAGTATCTCTCTGGATCATCACCATATGTCTGCCGGATGTAGGCCTTGAGGGGCTGTATCCAGTCGATCTCGCTTGTTTGCTTCAGCGGGCTCGATATCATAGGTGACTGCACCATCTTGAGAATGGCCCGCCGCGGGGGGGGTTAAGGGGGTGGGTGGGGGGTGGTGAGGCAAAAGAGGTGGAGGTAAAATGTTGTGGCTAGGTAGGCAAACAGTGAGGAGAGTCGGAGGTAACAAACACAGCTCCCTTTCCTAAACACCAGTCGAAAAGCGGTCGCAGAAGTGGTCAGAGAGGAACGAGTCGTATTTGGCCTGCAGAAGCAGTGGTTGGAGAGAGGCTTTCGATGGCTGGATGTGGGGTATTGGGAACTTCAGGATTGGTCTTCGCCCAAGGACAATGACGATGATGTTGCTAGTTTGGCGGTGGACTAAGAAATGTCATCACCGGATCTTAAACCCTTTTAACTATCACTCCAGCCTATTTAACTAACTAGCAGACCGGGACACACAACCACACATCAGGCGATTTAAACCACGAACAAACAACAGTGTGAGAGAGGATGGGGACAAATGGAAGCAAATGGGTACGGTGTAACAAAATACTTAGGGAGACCGGAGCGAGGCCAGGAGCTGGAGGGTCGACGCCTCTTCTCGAAGCCCAGGTTTATGCGAGTTAGTGAGGCTACGGTCAGGTTATTCTTAGGTCTGGCTGCTGGAAGAGGCAAGAAATCGACGCGCTATGGGAGATGCTGTATGGAACAAGTCCAGCTATGGCTTGCGATTGGCAGCAGTCGAGCCACCACTGCACGGCGCTAGAGATGAGAGGGGGCTTGGAGGCACTTAGGAATAATGCCATTGTTCGTTGAATATCTTTCGTATGTTTGTCCTCCTTTTTATTTGCCCATGCTTTTGGTGATATAGCTGCTATGGCGTTGATAATGCGACAATTATATGCGGCTGTCCTATATAGATTTATAATTGCTCCTGATTATTTTTGTCTCATATCGAGCTTGACCGTAGCGGAGATGTTAGCTATAGAGTGATTGTAGTAGCGAAGTAGTAGTGTACAGAGGTTATGGGAAATAAGGGATATCCAATCCATCTCTCCCCAAGTCTAAATGGCCCACCCCGCTATGCATTTATTTAATCATACAGCTTCCAATACAAAAGAAAATAAACAATAAACGGAAACATTAAACCCTACCATCAAGGAAAAGGGGCATATACAAGAAGATAAAAAGACACGATGGAGAACATTGCTTGTCAACACTATGACAAAAAGAAGCAAAATAAGGACAGGATTAAAACTATAACACCCTCAACCTCTTTGAAGATACCAGGTGTACATATCATCCCGAGCCGGAGGCCTTCTTCGATTCGTCCGTTTTGTTCCCGTCACCAGAATCGTTGGGTTTTGCAGAGGTATCGCCGCTGCTGCTGCCACCGCTGCCGTGCTGGTTCATGAGTCTGTGCCACGCTGATTTGAGGAATCCTTCGTTTTTGTGTGAAGTATCGCTGGATGTGCTGCTATCTTTGTTAGATGTTGACGAGTCGGGGGAAGGAGGCCTAAAGAGGAAACAAGAAAAATATACGTGGTCAATTCCCCCCTATCACAGCATCTTACAATTGATGGGCCTTCTACTCACTTGTCGTTTTTATTGATATTCATCATCCGTCGAGCAGTTTTGTCACCCATCTCGTCAGCAAGCACTTCCAGGATCGTTCGCTGGTTCGCATTCAAGTACTTCGGCATGGCAACTTTAAATTCGACCTTGAGGTCACCCTGCTGGCCACGGCGACCCTCAAGTTTCCGCATTCCCATCCCTGACAAAGTAATCTTATCGCCAGTACCAGTTCCTGTGGCCACTTTGACCTTGACCTCTCCATCCAGCGTTGGTACTGTGACCTCACCACCTAGAAGTGCGGTTGTGAGAGGGATCTGTGCTGTGTATAGCACATCCGAACCGGATCTGCTGAAGCGGGAATCGGGGGCTACTTTGATGAAGACATAAAGATCGCCCCGCTGTGTGCGGGCACCGGGTTCTACTGCTGGCATGTCTCCTTCCCCTGGCACCCGCAGCCGCATTCCGTCTTCTACTCCGCCTGGGATATTGACATGTACCGTCTTCCTTTCCCGTACTACCCCATCGCCGCCACAGCTATTACATTCGGATCCCCTGGGAATAGACATACCAGCACCGCCACACGACGTGCAGGTACTAGCCATCTGGAACCCTCCCTGAATAAAATGAACCTGCGAACCTGTCCCACCGCAAGTTTTGCACTGTGCCCGCTTCTTGCCCGGTTTCGTCCCTTCGCCATTGCATGTTTTGCATTGAACAAGCGGAGTGATGAAGATTTCCTTCGTTGTTCCCTTGGCAGCATCCATGAAAGAGATGTTCGTCTGTACCTCGATATCGTCCCCTTCTACCACCGCAGATCGGAACGGTCCTCCTCTCGACCGTCCCCGCCGACCCGCACCACCGGTAAAAGCACCAAATAGATCCTCGAAATTTATATCCGCAGAGAAACCCCCGCCAGGGAATCCGCCGCCAAACCCGTGGAAACCACCAGTGGTTGCTCCGGAGAATGGGCCACCAGGGCCGGCTCCAGGACTGAAGCCGCCGTTCTGATCGAATGCTCCCGAGCCAAACCGGTCATAGGCTTGTCTTTTCTCTGAATCAGAAAGCAGCTCATATGCTGATTGTGCCTCCGCAAATTTTTCTTTTGCATTGGGATCCTTATTTGTGTCAGGGTGGTATTTTTTGGCGAGTCCGTAGTACGCCCTTTTAATGTCTGCAGCAGACGCATCCTTGCCTACTCCGAGAACACTATAAGGGTCGCGTGTAGCTTGAGACGGCGCAGACGCATGGAAAGACTATGAAGTAGACACGGGCCAACGGTCAGCGGTTCATCTATGTGGTGCCCATTGAACTCGTATAGACGCATACCTTTGAGAATGGACGGGCGCTGCGGTCATTTAATGGCTTTGAAAATGGCCACTTATCATGGTATATCCTGCAGTCATTCTGAAACGTTTTCGACTGAATTTGCGGCCGTATCGTGGCACATTGATTAGAGCAGTGTCGTGAGGTTCGGAGTAGGCGAGCCGGTATAAGGGCTGTCCGGGGTATACTAGGAGCACCAGCGCTCATTTTAAATCAAAGCAATAATGCACCAATGCTGGAAGGGGAGTTGAGATAGCCAGACTGTCTGCAGACGCAAGTCCGGGCAAGCGAAACGACAAGATGGTGGGATATCAGTAGATTGGACAGTCTTCCTTTTGATCTCCGTCGCGATGGAAAAAAAAAAGTTTCAAGTATTTTGGATGACTAAGTTTGGCCAGGGATCTGGAATAATGTTCCGCCGGGATTCTATCGTTCGATTGGATTCTCCGAGTCTCACTAATCACAAAGAGAGGATCATATATTTTCTCTCCCCTTGACTCTTCTGCCGGAGTCAATTCTCTTCTGCAACTCTGCTTGGGAGATAGTAGATGTGCAGACTGCACACTAATTTCTCCCGCATACATATATTCGAGAGCGCCACATCCAGGCTCGTTTCGGCACTATGATTCGGGCCCAGAGCCTGCCATGGAGGGCAGTCCTTCGGCAGACGTCACCGCGGACTCTCTCATCTAAATATCCTTCTTCCTCTTCTTCTTACCGGATTTGCGTCAATTCGAGTCTAGAGGGGCAGACACTGCGGCTTTCACCTTTTGCGTCAGTATCACGAAGCTTCTCAGCTAGCACCGCCCGCCGAAAAGACAAGCCGCAACCACCCGAACCGAAAGAGGAGAAAGAGGAGGGAACAGAGACAGAGAAGAATCAGGAGGAAAAGCCAAGGCCTGGTAGACCATCGGAAGGGAAGGACAAGACTCCTGATACACCGTCGCCTATACCTGCTTCTGCTTCGCCTGCGGATGCAAAACCCAGCGGCGCAAGTGCTGTGGGCGGAAGCGCTGGCTCTGGAAGCAGTGGCGATGGCACGAGAAAGGGGAGGAAAAGTTCTGCCGAGAAGGCGTTACAAAAGGCTACGATCCCAGATGTGTATCCGCAGGTTATGGCTATTCCAATTGCGCGGAGGCCGTTGTTCCCCGGGTATTACAAGGCAGTTACTGTCCGGGACCCCAATGTTGTCTCCGCTATACAAGAAATGATGAAACGCGGACAACCATACGTCGGAGCTTTTTTGTTCAAAGATGAAGCGGCAGATAAGGATATAATTAATGATATGGAAGAAGTACATGATGTTGGTGTTTTTGCGCAGATCACGAGCGTATTTCCTGTGCATGGGACGGAGAATGCACTGACTGCGGTGTTATATCCCCACCGGAGAATTAAGATATCATCGTTAAGACCGCCGCGTGACACGTCACAGAAAGCAGAAAATGACCAGCAGCCTACAAAGGAAACAACCCCCGAAAAGCAAGGCGATGTTGTCGCGAGTTTTGAAGAGGCAACGCTTGAGCAGCCTCCCAAAGAGGCTCCATACGAACCTACCTCATTTTTACACAAATATCCTGTCAGCATAGTCAATGTGGAAAACCTTACAGAGGAACCATATGACAAGAAAAATACCATGATTCGCGCTGTTACGAATGAGATTGTAAACGTCTTTAAGGATATTGCGAATCTGAATCCACTTTTCCGTGATCAAATCTCAACCTTCTCCATGAGTCACGCTGGCAATATCATGGATGAACCCGCGAACCTGGCTGATTTCGCTGCCGCTGTTTCCGCCGGCGAGGTCAAGGAGTTACAAGACGTGCTGGATACGATGAATATCCAAGAACGCCTTTCCAAAGCCCTTGTGGTTCTTAAAAAAGAACTCATGAATGCCCAGTTGCAATCGAAAATATCGAAGGATGTCGAAGCGAAAATTCAAAAGCGGCAGCGGGAATATTGGCTGATGGAACAGATGAAGGGTATTCGACGTGAACTAGGTATTGAATCCGATGGGAAGGAAAAGCTCGTGGAAAAATTCAAGGAGAAATCTGAAAAACTTGCTATGCCCGAAGCCGTGAAGAAGGTGTTCGATGAGGAGCTGAATAAACTCGCACATCTCGAACCCGCAGCTTCGGAATTTAACGTCACAAGGAATTACCTCGACTGGATAACGCAAATTCCATGGGGTAAGAGGAGCCCAGAGACATTTGGTATCAAGAACGCAATGACTGTATTGGACGAAGACCACTACGGCCTCAAAGACGTCAAAGACCGTATTTTAGAGTTTATTGCTGTTGGAAAACTGCGCGGTACCGTGGAGGGGAAGATTCTATGTTTTGTGGGGCCCCCTGGTGTCGGTAAAACCAGCATTGGGAAATCGATTGCGCGGGCTCTTAACCGGGAGTACTATCGTTTCAGCGTTGGTGGGCTTACGGATGTAGCGGAGATCAAGGGCCATCGACGAACTTACGTTGGCGCTCTACCAGGCCGCGTCATCCAAGCCCTGAAGAAATGTCAGACGGAAAACCCCCTGATCCTTATCGATGAAGTTGACAAAATCGGTCGAGGGCACCAGGGAGATCCTGCGTCGGCCCTGCTCGAGCTTTTGGATCCTGAGCAGAACTCGTCCTTTTTGGATCACTATATGGATGTACCCGTAGACCTGTCAAAAGTTTTGTTTGTGTGCACAGCCAACATGACGGATACGATTCCGAGACCGTTGCTGGACAGAATGGAAATGATCGAGCTCTCTGGGTATGTTGCGGATGAGAAAATGGCTATCGCAGAGCGATACCTGGCACCTACCGCCAAGGAAATGAGCGGCTTAAAGAATGTTGATGTGACATTGGAAAAAGATGCCATTGAGGAACTTATTAAATCTTACTGTCGGGAGAGCGGGGTGCGAAATCTAAAAAAGCAAATAGAGAAGGTTTATAGGAAGGCAGCCCTGAAAATTATCCAGGATTTACCAGAGCAGGAGAAGGATCTTGAAGAAGTGGCCGTTCGGGAGGAGGTGAGAGCTACGCAGGGGCAGGAGACGACGAAGGGCGAGGAGAGTGTTGTCGAGGAAGCAGAGAAGTCACATCAACCGGCCGCCCCGGCTCCTCTAGTCGCGGCACATGTCCCAGATGATGTTCACGTCTCAATAAACAGAGACAACCTGAAAGATTACGTTGGCCCGCCCATCTTTACCTCTGATAGGCTCTACGACGTCACTCCCCCAGGCGTAGCCATGGGTCTCGCGTGGACAAGCATGGGAGGGGCCGCATTATATGTGGAGTCGATCCTGGAAACGGCTCTGTCACCAAAGTCCCGCCCAGGCCTCGAACAGACCGGCAATTTAATGAACGTCATGAAGGAGTCTACTGTTATTGCATATTCGTTCGCTAAATCTTTGATGGCCAGGGCGTTTCCAGAGAATAGATTCTTTGAACGGGCGAAGGTCCATTTGCATTGTCCAGAGGGTGCAGTGCAGAAGGATGGTATGTATAAAATTACACAATTAAAGGAACGTTTACTAAACACTAAATAATACAGGTCCCTCTGCTGGTATCACGATGGCGACCTCTCTGCTTTCCCTCGCTCTTGACCATCGCTTGGACCCAACAATCGCAATGACCGGCGAACTCACTGTGACGGGTAAAGTTCTTCGTATCGGTGGCCTCCGTGAAAAGACCGTAGCTGCTCGACGAGCTGGCGCCAAATCAATTATTTTCCCCGCTGATAACATGTCAGATTGGCTGGAGCTACCAGAGGTTCGTTACCCTTTGTTTCTCTTTCTCAGCCGCCATATCTTGACTGCCAATTTTGCCCCGGCCACTCACCACCCTTGAAATTGTTTGCAAGACTGACATTCTCTATTTCTTAAAAAAAAAATCCACAGAACATCAAAAAGGGCATCGAAGGTCATCACGTCAATTGGTACTCAGAGGTCTTCGACATCGTCTTCCGTGACCTTGACAAAGTTCAGGCGCAAACTATGTGGAAGTCCCAACTCCAAGAAGTTCCGGCTGTTATAAAATCCGACGCCAACGCTACAGAGGACGAATGAATCGGTGTCTCAAAGCACCATTCATACCCATTATTTCCCCTTTTTAGATCTTTCTAACATTTTGTATTTTGGATTGACTACTGTAACGCTACTTCTATTACTCAGTACATTCCTCTTCCTCCCCTTTTGCCTGGACAGAATTCTACCACTTTTGTTGACTCGTTTAAATTTTCCCCCTTGGCATATATAGGTATGATATATCTCTTCTCTCTTCAATGCATGGGCCCGGAGTTATTTATGGTTCCGCACCTCATTTGTTTGTTTGACCCGCACCGCAATCAACTACCATCTGGAGCTTCCAGACCATTTGTACTATCTATACCTCTTATCTCATATAATATTTCCCTATTATTTCATCCCTATGTTTCCGGGGAAAAAAGTCTTTGTGGCGTATGAGGGACTTTGACAAAAAAAAAAAAAAACTTTGTATTTTTTTATCGGGTTCGGATGGGGAGATAAGCCAAAGAGCATAAAAATCATGGGCACAGAAACCTAGAAGCGATCTCACTTCTCACTGTCTGAGTTTTGTTTTTTCTGAGAGTTAAGAAACTTGAGGTATTGTTGGAGGGGAACAGACGAAAATTGGCAGTCGAGTCGGTTATAGTGCTTTGGCCCCTTTTAGTCCCGTCCACGTTCCGAAATTTGGCCGAAAACAAAAATGCCATATCACATACGATACGCTAGTTACTCATTATCTCCAGGACGAATTCGAATTTCCCCTACTGCACACCTCATCACGGATTTGTAGTTGATAAATCGGCTTTATCTTGTAAGCCAATCTGATAATCCCCTGTGTTTATGAGTCGATGAAGACGGGAGAGTTGAGTTGGGGTAGGCAGTGAGAGTGTGGATCTGCTGCAGGTATTACCATTTCTCGCTCATATTATCTAGATAGCTCCACTTAGCATTTTCATAAGGAATAGATAGATATGACCGATGGGTTTCTGGCAGGACTGAGAAGATGCCCTTCTGCGCTGCCCCGCAATGCACCGGCGTATTTTGGTGTGATTCCGCTTAGTTAGCTACAGAGTGTAAGTTCTTTTTGGGAGTTTCTACATACGTTGGCTTTTTTCCCTTTTCTTTCATGCTTCTGATGCATGTGCGTGCGTATTTCAGCAATTATATCAATTTCAAAATGATTTATTTCCCTTTATATAAAGAGTTTCTCGAAATACTGACTACTGGACGAATAGAGATTTAAAACGTTTGAGATTCCGGTTGGTCCAAGGAGGGAGGGAGAGAGAGGGTGTCCAAAAAATATCGAAAAGCGTCAGAAAATGAGCCAATCAGAGTGCGAGAGGGACGTGGAAACTCCCTAGGCGGCATGGTGTAACTAACTACTGTACTAGTGCAGGGTTCTTTCTAGGGTCCTGTCTAGGGTCCTGTCATATAACGGCCGTTTGAGGGCCGGTTCATTTGATTAGTTACTCTGCGGCAGATGCCCAATTTGTGGGGACGTTTTGAGCAGGAAATTTTTCCCTGATAGGGCCAATGGAGGGAGGTGAAGCGTCCGTCGCATATTTTTTCTCTTCCTTGTGCGTCATGATTCAAGATTTGCGGGATCATAAGGCTTCTTGCGCTTTCTGCGAATTGGGGGGTGGGGAAGGGAAGGGAGGGAGCCGAGCCAGATATGACGACTTTTGACGGTCCCTTTACAATCAAAGGATATTATTATGCTTTTGGCACTGGCTGGAAACCTCCGAATTGCCACTTGGGCAGGAGGAAAGAGACACATGTTTCAGCAATAGAGGACGAAGATAATTATCTTTTTGATCCAGACTCGTTGATGAATTTAGACTTGAGAGTCTGTGGGAGCATCTGCAATTCGCTAGAAATTTTCAGTCAGTCTCTTTTAATTTGGTTGCCTAGAGCCCCTTGGCAGAGCTACGAAATGCAGCTCTGCAGGTTTGAGCTCAAGGCATGGCATGGCGCCATATTCTTGTTTCGTTCTTTGGATCCGTCATTATGGATATGGCAAATTTATATGCGGCAATCAATGGCCCGTCTGAGGTCATCCCGACTTCGCTCCGAGACAGTGACAGTGAGAGTAACCTCATGAAGGCCCAAAAGGATCAGAAACAGATAACGATACTATACTGCCTGGAATGGAGAATTATTTCCCCAGCGGAATGTCACGTTAAATATGACCCGCTTCATCTGCTAGGAAGAATCCCATCATGCAAAGTAATGTCTTTTATTTCTTTTATTTTTTATTTTATTTTTATTTTATTTTATTTTATATTTTTTTTATAATTTTTGGGTCGACTGAGAAATTATGACTCCCGCTATGTTAATTGGATTGAGCTTGTCAGCCTCTGGCAGCCGTGTATGTTTTTGTTCTTCGCAAAAATCGTATTCTTGTCGAGGCGAAGTCGAGGCTTTTGTGCCTGACATTTAACAGTTTTATAGATTGGTAGCCTTGGGGGCGTTGCTCAATGCGAAACAAAGGCGGGGAAGACCTAAACACGTCAACAATGACAACATCGAAATGTGGAAAGATTGACCACGAAAGCTACTCCTGGGGAGGCCAGCCTAATCCACTCACAGCTCTGAAGAATTTAATGAAGCTGAGAAAGGCTTTGAGACTCTAAGATTGGGACGATTTTGAAATGTTTTCAGTAGCTCCTCGTTCCCCAGGTGTGGTGATGTCGATGTCCGCCATTCATTCCGCGTGATGAAGCAGAGCTTCCAAACCAGGGCGATAGAGTGGGAGGGGTAGGTTAGACCAGTATCAAGGTTAATTTGTTTATCGACGTGGAGAGTATGTAGCTAGTGGAGTGAACCACCGACGACCTTACATGTTTAGGATGGAATTAGGGAGACAACAACGAATTCGAATAATGAAAAAGGAAATGAAGCCCGCGGTCGTGTCAGTACAACAAGGCCACCTGTAAGAAACCGCATCAGGTTGTTTCTGAGGAGCCAGATACCCTACCTGGCTTTCTCCTCCAACCAAAAAGTTAGTGAGGAGATGGTCAATTGGAGCCAACACATTCCAGAAGACCGAACTAAGGCATAGTTGCATGGTTGGAGAACACAATAATGAACAAGCGGCGCCTTACCAAAAGCGCGCCCAACAACCCGAATTCCACGCCTAAAAACCGGGCTAAAGAGAAAAATACCCTTGCCATGAAAGATGACATGATGGGATCTACTCCTCGTCGAATTCAGTCGGCCGTCGGCATCAAAGGACCTCAACCAGTGGAGGGGGTTCCTGGTGGAGCATGTAGACGGGGTGGCTATTTTACACCATGTTTTGACTGCGCCACAGATGAGTTAATTTCATTTTGCCGGATGCATAGAGTTCGAAACTTGCTTCCTAGAGCTCGTGGAAAACGGTACGCGAACCGTTCGATGAAAGGCTAATAATTGTTTGTTTATTTATTCTTTTTTGGGTTCCTCTTCTTCTCATTTTTTTTTATATCGCGGAATAGCTTTGGATTGCCGATATGGACTGCTCTACCACTACATGGAGAGCAGTATCTATGTAGCATCCAATAATAGATTTGATCAATAGCCCAAGGCCGTGGCTGATGGCGCTCCGCCTGGTGGGAAGAAATAATAGCATCCACATGTACCGAGTAGAGCCTTTCCAGAACAATCCCAGCTAGGTGTTACCTGTACCTACCTTTCCCTCGTAGCATAGCATTGAGTGCCTCGATAACGTATTCTCCCGTAGGATTGGCTGGGGGAACAAAGAAAGGGTGGCCCCATTGCTTTGGCACCATCTGGTAGGCAAATTGCTTTCTTTTAGGTCGACATGCATATCCATATCCGGGCTCAAGCATGCCTGTTTTCTTCTTTGTCAGTACGGAGTACGCTGTACGCTGTAATGTTTCTCAGCTCAGATCCCAACCTCCTAACTACGCTGTACATACCTATTATTATTGCCAAGCTACTCGTGGCATCTCCTGCAAATAAATCAGATTTATCGACTTAATAAAATAATATGACGGCAAGGACCGAGGAGACAGGGTGGGATGATATTCTCAAGCTCCTCTAGCTCTAGTTTTGGTTGGGCGGTGAAAGTGAAAAGAAATGAAAAAAAAATAAAATCAAGAAAAGATATTGAAAATTTTTTTTAAAAAAATTCATCCAACCGAGCGATCTTTTTTTTTTTTTTTTTTTTTTTTTTTTTTTTTTTTTTTTTTTTTTTTTTTTTTCCTTTTCGGTCGTTCCCATCAGCCTCATCTTTTCTTTTCCTCGCCAACAAAACACCACAAAGGAATCATCCAAATCCATCGCGGTTTTACATTCGACAATTGACCCTGGGCCCGTTGCCTTTCTCCGCTTCACTTTCTTTCACGCAATTGATATCATTACGACCATAACATTCATTCTTATCCTCGCGTTCGTCTCCTTTGCCTTTCCTGGTTGTGTACCGCGTTTTCCATGAACTATTATTCGCATCTTTGACGCCTGGAATGAGCGGGCAGATGTGGCCAGCTCTGCTGACAATATCCGCAATCGATTGAGTATAAAGCCTCTCCTGCGGATGATCCTGAGCCAGATGCACTCTCGTTTTCAAATCCACCTGCAACTATCTAGCCATTCCTGCGCATAGACCCGACTCGTTCCACCGGCTGCTGAGCGACCTGCCTGGAACCCCCCACCATAAGCGCGCAGTTCCCAATAGGGCTATATCTCTTTTTGTTTCCTTTATTTTCTTATGGACACATCGATCTTGTGCAGCCGGCTGTTTACCTCACCCGTGTCGAGGCTGAGGAGCCAGAGCTCAAGCCAAATTGTGCTGCATGGCCATCTCGATATTCGACAGACCCGGGTCCCTGACTCAACAGTGCATTCCCATGCCTAACCTTCAAAAGACTCCTCCGTCAAAGCGGAGCATGTGGCATCGATTTCGGTTTCCATGGATGCCAAAGAGCAGCCGCCGTTCATCCTCCGGCGGATCTCGAAGTTTTCGTGATGCCACTTGTTACAATAATGAGAACAGCGACGTCAGCAGCCAAAGCGACAACTACAACAACAATAATCGTCCCCGGCCAGTATCGGGCGGAGTTGAAGTGGGCCTGCCTCGCCATACAACATTCAAGCGACAGAATTCGGAACAGCGGGAGCGCCTTTACCCCACTGAAGCAGGATGTCGTCGAGCGCTTTCCGTGGACGCACGGCGAGCCAGAAGCCGCCATCGAACTCGATCACCACCGCCAGTTCGCGCCGCACGATTGTCAGCGCCAGAGGTGCAATATAATGATAAGGATCTCACCATTCCTTCGTGGGTGGATAACTCACCGTTACATGCGCCGAACCAATATGAGTATGGAACTTATACTGATGGTACCTTCTCTGTAGATGGAGAGGAGGCGGAAGACATGCTGGAGAAGGAGATGGATAGTAGATGGATATTGAATTTGAGCATGCACTTTCGAGATCGTTCTGAGCGAGAAAAGTTTTTCGTCACTTACGCAGAGACCCCGAATAGATGGCTGAGAGTTACCGTATCTTGCGATTACCGAAATGCCGAACCAGAGTCCCTGGAACGGGACCTCAAAAAACTATACTACCAACGGGACAAGAATGCTCGGATATACGAATCGATCCGTGACTCTCTGCCTGAAATCCAGTTCTATGACACCGTCACCAACCTCAGATTAGAAACCAGGGAGGGTCGGCTTCATGTTCACGTCACCGAGGATATGAATGAGATCATTCCTTATCCGCCGATATCTACCATTGAATATCTGGGATTGGATTTGGTCCGCGAGAGCGACCTTTCCTTTGTTTCTCATTTGTCTGGATTTGCTTACCAAGTGAAACTAGATGGGAAGGATTACGTGAAGAAAGAAATTCCAGGGCCGGATATGGTCAATGAGTTTCTCTATGAAATTAACGCTCTTCATTCCTTGATCGGTTCCCGAAGTGTCATCCAGCTTAAAGCTATCGTTGTGGATGATGATATGTTTACCACCAAAGGTCTTTTAATCAACTTCGCAAAAAGGGGTTCCTTGGTCGAGTTGATCTACGACTATAAAGGAACTATTGAATGGTCCAGGAGAACTCGTTGGGCCCGACAAATTATCGAAGGCCTTGCCGAAATCCACGAAGCTGGTTTTGTTCAAGGAGATCTCACCGTGTCGAATATCGTCGTTGACGCCAATGACGACGCAAAAATTATTGATATCAATCGGAGGGGTTGTCCCGTGGGGTGGGAGGCTCCGGAATTTACGAAGCTACTACAAAGCAAGCAAAAGATATCAATGTACATCGGGGTTAAGTCTGACCTATACCAGCTAGGGATGACGCTTTGGGCGCTCGCTATGGAAATAGATGAACCTGGCAGCCAGCCTCGACCATTCATCATCCCAATCGATATGAAAGTTCCTGACTACTACCGAACCATTGTTGACATTTGTCTAAGTACAAGTCCTCAAAAACGACTTCCAGCCAAAGAATTACTTGGCTTATTCCCTCAGGATTCAACGATTGTACCCCAGGAGCTTGCAGCGAGCAGCTTAGAGGCTCTGGTACTTCCTCCGGTGGAAATTCCAGATGATTGCGGATACCAGGATAATAGCCCTTCTATATGGAATCACGAATACCTGGAGCAACCTGCTAACGATATTAAATTGACTAGTGGACCCAAATCGCTACGTGACTCGGAAGACGTAATATTCTTCGATCCGTGCATCGATCACGGGCCGCAACGCTTCCCTTCGGAATTCAGAGAGCTGAATGGACAATTTGGAGAATTCCATATTGGGGACAATCCACTTGAGTTTCCTACTAAAGAGGGTAGTATCGAACTGGAATCCCCCTCGAGGGCTGGTCTATGCTCAGAAATGCATAACACTCTAGCGTTTGAAAGTTCGTTGGACGAAATATACTCAGGCGTCAAACCGCCTATCTCGTGTGGTATTAGGTGCAATATAATGATGCCTAACGACCAGAACAGCGAACCGCAATTACGTGAGGAACTTACCCCCTCCCATGATGGCGTTGAGAGCGATGGACAGAAAATATACCACATCCCTACTGAGGTCGTCGAAATGACTGAGCCACTAGTGCAACATACACCCTTTTCCCAAAGCTTCTCAAGTATCTTGCTTGAGTCGTCGTTACCCATAAATCCTGCATTCCCTCTTTCAATTGTACCAAAGGATATCAGGCATTCAAATCCAGATTCTGAGGTCCCAACTCCCACAGAAATGAATTCCCCGGATTCCCTAATGGACTCTTCCAGGCAGCAGGATACCGGAAGTGGGCGTGGTGATAGCCTGCTTATATCGAAATTGCCCATTAACCCAGCTTTTAAAGACCCCTCTGAACTAGAACAGCAGGATGACGTGCCCATTGAGTTAGAGCTGTCAGTGAACCTGGCTGTCAGCTCCCCTGAGCCAGTGAAGCAGGATGATCTACTTTTTACATCAAAACTACCAATTAACCCGGCCTTTAAGGATTACCATCTTGAACAAGAACACAATAGCCATTCATTTTGTTCCAATATTATTCTGGATGAAGGCCCCTCAATCCCCTCATGGCCGGATACTCCCGCCCTTCAAACAGACTTCATTGGGCAACATAACTCTCGGACGGACGACCTTTTTGTATCAAAGCTGCCAATTAACCCGGCTTTTAAGGACTTCCATTTTGAGCAAGAACCGTGGAATAGCAGTTCATTTTGTTCCAATACTATTCTGGATGAAGGTCCCTCAATCCATTCAAAGGCCGGATACCCCAGCCCTTCGATCAGAGCTAACTTCACCACATAACTCTCGGGCGGACGACCTTTTGTATCTAAGCTGCCAATTAACCCAGCTTATCATACAGTTTTAGGAATCCCCCTGAAACTTCCATTCTCTCTCGGGATTCCAAGGAGTCTCCAGTGATATCCCCTATGGTATATGTTCTTTCTAACCCGAAAGAAATTTCAAGGCCACAACGGTATGAAACTGGTCATTCTGGAGACCTTTTCCAATCGGAATTGCCGATTAATCCGGCCTCTAAGGATCCTGTCCAACGAGAACTTCCAACCAACTATCCTGACAGAGCTCTGACGGTGTTCTTTGATACCCGAGAGTGCCTAGTGAGGAAGTTACAACAACCCTTAGCAAACATATTTGTCTCATAGGCTGCCAATTACTCGGGATTTCCCATCTTGCATTTTCTTTCCCATTCGTGAAAGGATGGGTACGGACGCTACAACCAACCCATGTTTTTGCCAACAATTGAGCCAGCTCGACTAAAACCCAAGGTTCCACTCCTCGTCCTACTCAACAAACTTACCTGAGAGGAACCGTTACGTTACAGGATTCTTTTATTGTCCATCCAACGGGTGGAAACGTCAGCTATGCTCTGTTCCATGTACCACTCTACCAACGTTACTCAGTTACTCAGTTCCGACTTTCTGTGTTCTAGCGTTTAACACTCTACATTTCCATTTCGGCAACGAACCCAGTTTTATTTAACGACAGCATGTTTAGACACATTGGTTTGAAGAAAATTTTTCCGATGTTTGGGATGGTAAGGGGTCAATCATAGTTTTACTTTTGTTAATTTGTTTGTGATTTCATTCCGATTTTATTTTATTTTTTGGTCCTTGGACTTAGTTTGCGTTGCAGCTTTTCGTTCCGAGGCACAACCGTTTTGGCTTCCGGCGAGGGTTTATTTTTACGTACAAAAGCATTGTTGATTGGTACCTGAATGTTTGGCAAAATCTTTATTGTGTTCTTATTCTTTAGTTACCCCACTTGTTTCTTGATGTACTGTACTTTCTACCTTCTTTGTTTTCTTACTTTGACAATGCGGAGTTTTCCCTGGCGTTTTGACAGTAACGTGTTTCTTTTCCCGTCGAAATAAAAAAAATTCCCTTACATCGCTTTTGTATCTTTTGATATTTTTCGCAAGTTCTAGGCTTTCTCATGCATGGTTTGTCACTTCTTATTGTTTTTGCACGCCCTTTTCCGGAATCCAATCACGCCCCTGGCAGACGAGTCCGGGGGATCGCTCCATTCCACAAAAAGTGGGAATAACCTTCGCTTTGGGCGCGAGCCGTGAAAGTAAGTGGCTAACAGCATGACTCCCGCGCAGGTGACTCAAGATGAGAAAACTAACATTTTCCCAGTCGCCTGTAGGATCCCTGTGAATGCACATCATCATTATTATCAGGAATGGTGATACAATTTGCTCTTCTTCCAACGCACCATCAAGTTCCCGGCTCCCCCCCACTTTAATCCAAAGCGGAACTGATTCCACCGAACACCCACGACTACATCTAGACTCCTAACGCTACACAACTCATATTACAATTCCCCTTAGTCACATTCCAAAATTTGCCTCGTCCAACCCCCGCATCGTCGGACGAATAACGGGTGTCGGCCGCCCTCAATTATCATTTCCCGGATCCTTGCAGCTTTTCGTGCTGTCAATCTCTATCCTCCCCTCCTCCCATCCAGTTATTCAACAACGTGGTGAATCTTTTCAAAATTCGACAGATCGATGTGCTGTCCTCCGAGTGATACCCTTCCAATGATTCTTTCAAGTGCTATTTACCTTTCTCCATAACGATAACCAAACATTTTAAACTAGCCATTCTCGAGATTGGGCCTTTCGCCTTCACTCTGTTGCCTTCTTCGTTTATTCACGTTCATGTTTCTCCTCTCCTCTTTCTTTCTGTTTTCGTTGGATTTGTCTTTTTTCCCTTTTTTTTCTTTTTCTTTTCTTTTTTTTTTTTCCCTTCCTGTTTTCATCGCCGGTAGCAATTGCCGTGCAAGATTTCACGATATTATGAGCTATGACATTTTTATATTTTCATTCGCATTTTTAACCAATTTTTAATAAGATCTGAAGCTATTTTTTTCCATTTTTTTTTTCCATTTCATCTCTCTCACCCCATTTTATATACCTTCTGGTTACTGAAACGACGCTTTTGTCATGGAACCGACATTTCGTTCGGAGAGAGAAAGAAAGAGCCTAACCTTCGACAGCGCGGGACAAAGCTCTTATGGATATCTGTATTTAGGAGCTATGATTGAAAGTTATAGTATGAAGATTGTAGTCAGACAATCTTTTTGTATGAAATATGAATTCTTCCATGCGACGGGATTCAAGGTCTGGACCTACCAACCAGAGCCGTAAACTGCATTTCCCACAGCAATCTGTGTATTGGAAGCCCCATTGCTTGGGTTCAGATGACTTCTGTCCAGCCAGTACCTTTTGCATGAGATATTTCTGTCGGACTAACAGTGCCACAGAGATGGTGCACACATAAATTAGGCATTAGACCTCACTTTCATTTTGCCCCTGACATTCTAACTCGGATAATAAACCCGTTGACACGGCGTACAGCGATTGTGTATAAATGTCCGACATAATCGCTGTCTAGACACTATAGTTATCGGGTTAAGCCATAATTACTCATCCGCTAAATATCTCCCGGCACGAAGGAAGTGAAGAAGTGGAAAAGTCCGCTTCCCTCAGCTGCTAACAGTAAACTTAAGTAAAAGGTTGATATGGGGCATCTATCCAAACTCTACTTCCATATACATACACCCCGGTATATTTCACTGCCCGAATCCGCAAACATCCCAGCGCCACAATCAATTTCCTCAATGAAAAAATATAGCGAATTTGCGGTCAATAGAGGAAGTAGTAAGAGGGGGGAATCGAATAGCAAGAAGAAAAAGCCCAGGAATATCGTCATTTGGGAATATCCGCTCAGAACGAAATATGTAGAGACAAACCATAAAAGGAAGACAAGAACGAGAATGTAAACAAAGAAAATAAAGGAATCAAGATATACATCTGCAAACGGTACATCATGTACACCCATCAATAAAGGGGATTATATATTCTGGAAAATTAGACGCCGGCCGAAAGGTTCCCTTGAGTAAAGGAAGTTATAAACAGAACGTATAATTAACCGTAGTAGCCTGGGAAAGGAGAAGATAATTAGAAAGGCTTGTCCGAGTCAGCTGCTTTGACTTCAATCGCGGTCGTAGGAGCTTCGGGACTGCCAGGACTTCCGGGACTACTAGGGCTACCAAATCCCTTATCAGCAGTCTCATTTACTGGTGTTTTCTCTGATTTCGACGTCTCTGATTCAAGGATTGTTGGTTTGTCATCTGACGAATCTGCGTTTATAGCTTTAGAATTGATAACTAGAGTAGCAGGCTCCAATATGTCGGTTTCATTCGGCTCTTTCTCTTCGAGTGAATCGCTAGTTTTCTCACTCTGTTCGAGTGGATCGCTTTCTGATGTTTGCTGGACGATTTCTGGATTGTCCAGCCCATCATCGTCAGGTGTGGGGGTTTCAATAACGCTATCTTCCGCCAGGGTTGGGTCATTTGCGGGAGTTTCTGATGGGACCGGTAACAGGTCACCTTCCTTATCAGAAACGGAAGTATCTGGGAGTTTCACAACAGAGTCATCCTCCTCAGCTGCCTGGGCATTTTTGTTGGGGCCATCATCTTCGGCTGCTTCTGTGATAGTTGAAACAATAGCCCCTACTGAAGGGGAGGCCTTGTGCCGTCTGGTTGTTGCCGCAACATTTAATGCCTGCTCTGACTGTTCCCCGGGAACTGGCTTTTCTGCCTGTGTTTCTGACTCTTTCCGCATAATGGTCATCCGTCTACTGGAGTCACGTTCAGGAGCCACGTTGTTCGGTGGCTGGAGCCCTTCTGCTTCTCTTGGGACCGTATAATTATCCTCCGGTATCAGATTATAAATATCACAGACCGTCTTAAAGAAAATGTATAGTCCATCGTGGCCTTCAACCTGCCAAAATACCTCGCGATGCTGGAACCACGCATGTGCAAAGATCCGATAAACGCGGCGAAAAATGTTGGTAAGATGCTTCATGCTCGTCTGGGGCCCTCCAGATGACTCCGAGCCAAGAGTCAATCTGCTTGGGAAGTATTTTGGTGATGTCAGGATATTCGCCGCCCAGTCAAGGGTGTGACAGCAGTAATCGATGGCGCAACATGATTTAGGCGGATCATGGACGGCACATAAGTATTGCCATTCAGAGGCACGCATTTCGGGACATGTTTGAGCAGAGCACGGCGGGTCTTCCGCAAAAAAGGCAACAATCAGGTTATTAGCCTTCATGGTGAGAAATCGACAAAGCTCATATAGCCATAGAGATCTTTCTACTCCTTCTGGAGGCTCCGCAAGAAACCGCGCAATGTCACGAGTTATGGGATTTAGAGTCGAGGAGTCGCTAGGTCTGGTATAGTGCTGATACAAGGCTTTGAGGTGCTCTTGTAATTGGAATGGAGAATCGAGCTGAATCGCGACAATTGGTTAGCGCCCAGCCACTCAGGGGAGGTTGAGGGATTGACCAACTTGGGAGAGAGGAACCAGAGGAGGACCTGAGGCCATGTCTGCAGATTTGGTCCCCGGACGTATTCTCCGCATCGACGCATCGTCAGGCTCATGCGGTAGCCCCAGGAGCTCTTCGCTGGTAGCTCCAAACCCTTCGCCAACCGTAGGGGATTGAGGCCCAATCTGCACCTCTGTGAACGGCGGGGGACTAGGCAATCGAGGCGAGCTCGAGGGAGAAGCACCAGCAGTCGTCATTGCAGGCTGGCGCAGACGGGGAGGATACGTCGTGGTAGGGCTGGTAGGGAACAGCGGGAAGAGAGCCTGGAGGTCGTCGCCGTCGTCGTCTTCGTCGTCGTCTTCGCTGCCCGACGCCCGCTGGTGAAGCTCTGACGTTGGCTCGAACAAGCACCAATCCAAGGCCATGGCGGAGGCTAGTTCTGCCGCCCCGACAAGCCCTAAGCCCTAAACCCTGCCGAATATAGCTGCGGGGGTAGAGTCGTGGAGATAAGTTATTTATTAACTAACTCCTGGGCGAGTCGATAGGATACCAGAGCAAAGATTGTCCAGCTTCCTCCTCCGGATACTGTTGTTTTGGTTGCAATCGAAACTTCTTTTGTTTGGGTAAATAGAAGATGAACTTTAGAGACGGCGATGAGGAAGGCCCGCCTGAACTGGTTGATGTCGACGCCCTCGAGGAAGAGACGGCGGCAAAGTCACCTACTGAGCGGAAGTTCAAGAAAGTCCCTATCACAATAGTAACAGGTAAGTGGATGCGGAGTTGTTGTGTTGTCCAGTAAAGAAATAATACGACTTGTTGTTAGCTAAAACAAAAGTGCGTTCGTTGTAGGCTATTTGGGCGCGGGCAAGACGACACTACTTAACTATATCCTAGGAGAGGAGCATGGGAAGAAAATAGCGGTGATTTTAAACGGCTTGTAACCACCCAGCCTGATCCATATGTTAAGTTTACACACCCGCTGACTGATTTGACGGGCCTTGTAGAATTTGGTGATTGTATGTGACCCTCTGGTCTTATATACATACGGTTTTATGCGTGTTGTGTGCTGTTTTTGGGGGTTAACTACTGGTTTACTGACTGTTACAGCCATTGATATCGAGAAATCCCTAACGGTCAACAAAGATGGCCAACAAGTTGAAGAATGGCTCGAACTGGCAAACGGCTGCATATGTTGTTCCGTTAGGTAAGTTAAAAAAAAAAAAAAAAAAAAAGCTTATATGCATATTTTGCATTTGTGTCTACTATTCCAGCTAATATCACCGACAGAGACACGGGAGTAGTCGCCATTGAATCGCTCATGGAGCGCCAAGGCACATTTGACTACATTTTGCTGGAGACAACCGGCCTTGCCGATCCAGGTAACATTGCACCGTTGTTCTGGGTTGACGATGGCCTAGGCAGTACTATCTACCTGGATGGGATCGTCACCTTAGTCGATGGGAAGAACATCCTCCGGCTTCTTGACGAGCCAGCGCCGGCGGAGGTCCAGGGAACGCACCACGGCGCGGTTCTTACCACAGCTCATCTCCAGATATCACATGCTGACGTGATCATACTGAACAAGAGTGACCTGCTTACTGCCGCTGAGCTTGACAAGGTTAAGGAGCGGGTAATCTCCATTAACGGCCTGGCTAAAATTATTGTGACGGATCATAGCAAAGTCCCCAATCTCGATGGCACAGTGCTTGAACTCCATGCTTATGACAATGTGACCGATGTCGATTTCAGCGAGAAGGGCCATAGTCACCTGGATCCTGTAGGTTATGCTTCTTCTTTGCTGAATTTGCCTCCCTATGTAGAGGGTTGCCCCTCTTCTTCGTTCTGACTATTTATGCTCCGTCCAGTCAATATCAACCCTCTCCTTCACCATTGACAAGATAACGCCAGAATGCGTGCCCAAAGTGGACGCATGGCTGCGCTCGTTACTGTGGGAGCGTCAACTTCCACATCCCCAACCGACAAATCAGGGCCAGCAGAAGATTGAAGATTTTGAAATCCATCGATTAAAGGGGTTGCTCTGCCTGACAGATGGCAGTACGCAGGTCATCCAGGGAGTACAGGAAGTATTTGATATTACAGAGACTGATAGCAGGCACCCATCGGCTTCGGGGAACCACTGCAAAATGGTCTTGATTGGGCGAGGGTTAGGCATGGATAGCAGCCCCTGGCGAGAGAGCTTACAAGCTTCTCTCGGACGTGCCAGTTAATTTTTTAGGAATTCTTTTTTGTCATTTATCTAAACAGAAATGAAACTACCTATCGACATAAATGAACAATATGGAGGATATTTTAGCCGTGGCCGGGCCGTGGTATATGGCGATGGGAGGGAGCCGCCCAACTAGGACAGGAGCTGACATGCGAAACCTCACGGAAATATTTGACAATAATTTTCAAAACGCAAGATACTGACCGCACGGGAATGAAAATTGAGATATACTAATACGACTAGTCCCAAGGCGGGCTCAGCCTTTTTGAGCATATAATCCTTTAGCATATCATCTCGGGTAGTAAAAGCTGCCAACTCGCTAGTGTTCCTGCGCCTTATCGATAACCGAAGCCAAATGTCGGTACCAAGATCTCATTTGCGGACAAAGTGACTACTAAACCAAAACCTAGAGCACAAAGACACCATGATTTCTAAACACTGGGGTATAGACGCATATGTGGGTTGATTCCGAGGTGAGATATCGGTCTAAGGACAAGAATACTGCAGTTTAGGCTACGTTGAATAATACTTTGGGAGGCAGTATAAACTTATGCTCTAGATGTAAACCGAGCCCTAAACAATGGCGAGTTTTGCAAGTCGCCTTCTGACATTTCAGCATCCATATCAATAGTCCGATCCCCATCTCCATCCATATCACGATCATCCAGCGGTAATATGTGTACCGCTGGAGAATTCACGGGGCTCATGGCCACCCTAGGCCTGCTCTTAAACACGCTGGCATAATCCGCATCCTGACTAAACAGTTCTTCCTTGGGGGTTAACGTTCCAGAGCTTCCTGGCATGAGGCTCCGCGAATCGCGCTTTTTGGGAGTTTCAAACTGGTTTGTAGGAAATACTTGCGATTTTCGAGGCTTCGCTGCTAGAGACTGTCGGGGTCGTGCGCTAGGTGTGGGGAGGAACGACATCGAATGTCTTGTACGTTCAATAAGATTGCTTGAAACAGAGCGCGTAGAATTTACAGAGATTGATTGCGGGGATTCGGCGTCCTCGTTTACGGGACTAGGGTTCGAATCGTATTCGATGATGATTGATGGAGTAGCAACGCCAGAAAAGTATTCGTAATGCGGAGTTCCTGAACCGCTTACCTCTCCGCTTTCTAGCCTAGGGGAGCCTCTGCTGCTCCCCTGGGTTGGAAGAGAGGAAATGATGGAGGCATTATCCATATAGTTGGAATTGGGAGTTGGTTGGTCGGCGAGAAGACTTAACGCTGCTTGGTCCAGTGAATAATTACGATTTGAATGAATATTGGATAGTCTCCGATTTCTTGGATCCCCTGAATCTGGCCGCTCTTTCTTCTGAGAGATATTGACATTGTGCTTGAGAAGTGCAGCATCAAGATCTGAAACCAATGAGGAGTACTTCGTGTCATTTAGCGACGGTGGAGTCGATTTACGATCTGACTGAGCAAGTGAAGCGATCGTTAACGGCTGGTGGTTCCGAAATGCCAAAATCTTGGAAGAGCTCCGATGTTTGGATGGTGGTGATGCACGTCTTTCTTCAACGAGAGTCTGTTTAAACTTCCGCCACTTTTCAACCCTGGCTTTCTGCTCTGCGAGTCGATTATCCAAATCAGCCAATAGATCAGAGGAAGAACTGTTTTCCATGTCATCCAACCGTCCATTCTTAATCAGTGACAACGCCCGTGAAAATGATGATTCAAGAACGTGATCAGTGGACACTTGCATTCCACCATTGAGAATTATGTCGGCCCATTTTTCATTTCCGTACCATAGGTTCATTATCTCATGGGTAAGTTCGGCTTCGTTTGCAGTCGGTTTGTTCGCAGCTTCCTTTGATCGGGCAGCAAGCTCTTTCGTCTTATTTTCAAGCAGAATTTTCAGATGGTCATAAGCTTCTCGTACATGGCATTTATCATTAATCATGGTCGTAAGTGCGGCACGATGCGCTATAATCAGCGGAACCAGCATCTCTTGTTCTGGGGAGGAAGTGCATCCATTGATTGTCATCTCAAGAACTGGATTTTTGTGTTCACCCTTGCGCGCCAATATCACCTCCCGTAACACAGCCAAAGAAAAGGTGGCCAGTGCCTCCTCGAACTTCTCCCCTTTGCACTCATCTAGCATCGTCTTGCGGAGGATCGCTTCTCTTCCGAGAACGCCATTCTTTTTGAGATCGGATAGGGCACGAAAAAGCGCGGCCCGAAGGTTAACAGATTGTAAGGGCTCCAGTGGAGGGAAAAAGGGGCGCAATCTCTAATAGCATAGGAAAAAAAAAGAACAAAGGTTTAGAATCCTTTTCAAATACAATAGTAGAATGGTACTGGGCCTATCTAACGGAGGCTTACATTCTGGGTCCCTTCTGGGTCCCATATCGTAAACAGTTGGTACAGAGACCATTCCACCGCTTTAATGCGTTGGCGGAGATTTGGTTGAGCGCCTGCAAAGGAGCGGACAGTTATATTTGGCCAGTCAGGGAGTTGGTCAAGGCGTAGCAGCCTCAGGTTTCGCACAAAAATGGTGATATTTGAGGACACCGGCCAATTAAGCCCCTTTGGTTTAGGTGAAGGGCGGGTGGAAGATTGCATTGCAAAAAGTCATAATCGATACTCCAATGATTTAACCAATAATGCCACTCTGTATTCATCCGTGGTTTCCTTTTTGTCCCTACTCTTCCGCGCATGGAGCCGTCGAAGTGGGTAGATATGCAGCTTGACAGCTGCCGTTGTCGCTGCATAGAATGAAGAACGGTGAAGCCCTTTGTTTACTTTGGGATGAGGTGCCAAGAGCTCTGTTTGTCGTGTTTGCACAGTTTGCACAATTTGCTTTGATTCTCCGGATTATTCTCAACTTCCGCAAGTTTGTTTATGTATTGACAATCTTCTAAACCAACTTTCACCTGACTACTGCTGGAGAACGATAGGTTTCCTCCTGGATGAGCATACTTTGGTGTGACTTTCATTTTTTGTAATTAGACTTGCGAAATACTTTACACTTTTCGTCGTTGAAAACCTACTTCTTAATATTGCCTTACCTATCCCGGTGGCTGATATTGCCGATATCATGGGGTCGACTGAACCGACAGAAGCTCAATGGACAGCTCAGTCCGGTTTGTATTCTCCAATCCCATGGGCTTATCTTTGACGGAATTCTGACAATAAAATGTCTAGTCCTCGTCACCCTACCCCATCCTCCTCCGGAGAACACTCCCACTCCTATTCCTTTCTTCCATCTTCTTGAGCGCCTAAAGACTACCAAACGCGAAGGATGGAGACGATTCGGTATTGCCCATGGCGAATCGATATCTGATCACATGTATCGCATGTCCATCATGACGATGTTTGCCCCGCCTGCTCTCGCCTCTAGGCTAAACATTCCCCGCTGCACGAAAATGGCTTTGATACATGACATGGCAGAATCCATAGTCGGCGACATCACGCCAGCAGACACACACATAACGAAAGTGGAAAAGGCCAGGCGGGAGGCGGAGGTTATCGAATATATTACCAAACCTTTGCTTGGAGCGGTACCGGGCCTCGCCACCCAGGATATCCAGGAGATATTCCAAGAGTATGAGGATAACGTTACACTCGAAGCCAAGTTTGTCCATGACATCGACAAGCTGGAGCTGTTGCTGCAGGCCGTGGAGTATGAACGGTCCCATGCTGGGAAGTTGGATTTGTCGGAATTCTTCCACGCCCTGGAAGGCATCAAGCTTCCTGAGGTGAAGGAATGGGCTATGATCGTGATGCGGGAACGAGAATCATTCTGGGCAGGCCAGTCGCGGGACGCCTAAGCCTGCTCTTCGGACGCTTTAGTGCAATGATGAATGTGCCATGAGCGATGAAGTCGTCTTCAAGTCATCCTTATTTTCAATTTTTTATGCCATAGACGGTGCACGAGCAATTCATTTTGCGATGTTAACAGCGGAGTTGGAGTTGAAACTTTCTTTTTGGGCGGTTGGTTTTCTTTTCCTTTTGATCCCGGCATCATAAATAAGGCATTCGCTAGAAGTTTTAGAATCAAACCTAGGAATAGACATTTCCTGCCTTACCTCCTCGCAACCTAATTCCATGTGTATTATCATAGATCTCTAAATGTCGTAAACGCCAGTAAATAAAATCCTCTAAAAGTTAAATCCGTAACTGTAACGCCCCCAACCTCTCTCTCCATATAATCTTCCCACCCCCACTGGTATAGTCCATATCACTCGAAAAGACAACGAAAACCCTTCAATCCACCGCCTCCCCCTCCATCTCCTTAGCTAACGCAACCGCCTCTTCCATCATCTCCTCCTCTGACCTCGGCTCCCGTGTCTCATTATCAACGCCCGGAAACCTAGAGCGCTCCCTCTCCCTTTCCCTCTCCCTCTTTTCCTCCACCATCTCCCCCAAATGCCTCGCGATATTCCCCTCCCGACCCTCCATCATTTCATAAATAGCATCAGAACCACCCCTGTGCTCCAAATCCGCCTTCCGCCTCGGTATTATATGCGCATGCACATGCGGCACCGTCTGCCCGGCTTCCGGGCCATCCTGGATAGCTATATTTAGGCTTGTGCCGTGGTATACGCGCTGGATCATGCGACCCACGCGTCGGACGGTTAGGAAGAGGTCGGTTGTTTCGCTAGGGGTGAGGTCGGTGACGCGCGGGACGCGCCGGAGGGGGCAGACGAGGACGTGGCCTGGTAAGAGGGGCTTGAGGTTTACGAGGGCGAAGGAGAGGGGGGTTACGTAGAAGACCTGTTGGTTGTTGATGTTAGTTAGGAGTTGTGGGGTGTGAGTTTCCGGGGGCCGGGGTTGGTGGGGGGAGCTTTCCTGTGGTGTCACTAAGAAAGGGCCGAAATATATTGGGGTTTTGGAGATTAGGGACATTGTGAAATAGGCGTTTCTGGTACCAGGGAAGTGTACGAGCAAGCAGTTGAATATACGGTGGGACGACAATGTGGTGGGAGTGTCCTGAGGAATTGCAGGTCTGGCGGATTGTGATGGCCAAGCAAAGCCCCGGGGTTTCAAGGGCTCCTGTTTTGCAAGGAAAATATTTTGTCAAATACACACATATACATGATATTTATAATATTATAATATTATTTCTATTTCTATATGCAATATGCCCGTTTAAACTGTTGGGGGTCCCGGGGGTTGATCGGCCCTTCTACCAGCAGTGCGCTGGTGGTGACTGAGCTCTTTTGCCCCAGTAGCCTACATAAACTACCAATCCAGTGTTTTGTGATAAAAAAGACTTATCTTCAGTCCAAATCCAAGTACTGTCAACTGTCAGGGCGTTGAACGAACAGAGATAACAGATACAGCATCACTCAACTCAGATGTTGGATCGATGTCGCTTCCGCCACAATCTGCATCTCCGATATCGCTTGCTATCCGCGACGTAGATTCTTCTTCCCTCTCATCAACTATGCCCCCGTCATGCGCCAGCTCACCATCCTCACCAGGCAATAAAAACCCACCGCCCTCATCAACAGGTTCCCTCCTTCTGTCTTCCCATTCAAAGCCAGTATCGACAGGAGGAATATTGCGATCGAATCGCCCGTTACCATTGGCAAACGGATTCTGCTCCTCCCCATCACCACCACTCCCATATTCCGCCTGAATGCGCTCAGCAATCCGCAGCCCCATAATGAACTTCCTCCACGTCGAAAGAATAAGTTTATCATGCTTCAGCTTTTCCCTTTTACGCCGTTCAGCATCCTCTGCGCGCCAGGCATCCTTGACAAGGCCCGCGTTCTCAGATGCCACAACCACCCCTTCAATGACGGGCACGGCCATTTTACTCCCGAACTCAAACCCAGTAACCGCCTCCGCGTAATCGACGCCTAGCTTCTTGCAGATCCGCACCGTCCCGCGCCAGGGGATGTGTGTCGCGCCTTTTGGGATCATAGAAGGGACGAAGCAGTCGATGTTCCCGTAGGCATTTTTCGGGATCTTCCCGTCCTTAATTGGTGGGGGAATGATGTATTCTGTCTGATAAAGGGCGTATAAGCCCTGTTTTTGCTTCTCACCGCTCTCCCGTTCTGCCTCCTCAACTTCACGTTGCCGCGTTATTGTTACTGCGCGTATTGGGACAAGCTTCAATGGGGCTTCTCCGACCTTAATCTGCCGACCTTCCTTGTGCCAGCTTTCCGCGGAAAGACACTTCTCAACGTCTGACCTCTTATAAACTTTTTCTTCTTTCATCTTGTCTCCCTTGCCCGAGGTAAAAGTTCGGACATGCCGTGCGCCGGGCCGTATAGCCTCCTCACGACGTAGAAACCGCTCAAGGACAAACTCCGTAGAACTCCGCAGGCTCTGTAATGTATCTCCTTCCTTCTTTTGAATCTTTTTCTCAGGCTGGTTCGGAATGAGATCCTTCGCATCCTCCTTCTCGTCAACGATAGTTCGCTTGTCCTCTGGCCGTACGTATCCCCTCATTGCACCTTTGAACCAATCGTAGAAGAAATATCGCGCGGGCCCTCTACCGCCATGCATGGGGATCTTCTCAACAGGCATGCGGAAACCCTTGGTCTTCCCCGGCCAGGTATGCCGCTTGAGATATCTGGTAGTGACATCTTTGGCGGTTGCGTCTGGTGAGTATGCGACCACATATGCAATTACTTGCTTCGCCTTTTCAGCTTTAATGCCGCGCGGTTCAAATGAGGATAAAAGCTCAGGCGTTGTCGCGACAGCATTGGTGCTCGGTAAAATTAGAGCCTCAACTGGAATTATTTCATGTGTGACTGGTGAAACCGCCTCAGTCCAATATATCGGGAAGGGAAGATCGCTGTCAAATCTCTTGCCTGGAACTAGATTATCTTTCTTCTTTAATCGCCGCATACTAGATTTGGGCGACGGGGCGTCGGCATCACTACTTCCTTCACTGGCGGTTAGTAGCACTTCTGCAGCAACCCCCGTCGCCGTCGCCGTCGCCATTGCCGCCTCCTGTTCCTTTACGCGATAGTTTTCCACTTTTGTCCATCCAAATCCGAGAGGTTGTAGACTGGCGACCATCCTTGCTTCAATATTCAGCGCCCTTAGCAAAGCAGTAAACAGCTGCGCACCTACGTCCCGCGAGCCTTCAGAGCGACACGCCATGTCGCGAAACTCATCTAGATTCCCAATCCGCTCACCATGGTCATATTTATCATGGTCACCTTTGTGGAAAGAGCGGATTTCCTCCTGAAGCGTCGCGATAGGTCGATACCCCATTTTCCGTAGCCCAGGAGCTGTAGTTTTGAAACGCTTCCTCCAGTACGCGGCAAGAACCCTCAGAAGCTGGATTGTGGGATCTCCCCCGCTCAAATCTGGCTGGCCGGGCTCTAGACGAGAAGCCTCTTCCCCCCAGTCTCGTTGCCGTTTGTTACTTTTCTTCTTATCCTTCCCTTTCCCTTTTCCGATATTGGGCGGGGGCTCAGGTTGTTTCCGGCCAGCGGCAATCTCCCATTTCTCGATTTCCTTCTTGATAGCGGGTGGTAACTGGTCTCGCAGAATCTGATGGAGTTCTGTGTCATTGATCCACCAGTTACGGATGGCATTGTGGAATAGGAGGAACTGCACGTGCATGCAATGTATTTGGGATGCGTATCTCCCGTTCAATCTTGCTGGGGCCTTTCTTGCCCGGAGCTACGGGGTCTGTAAGTGTGGTGTGATTCTTTTCCAGTGTAAGCTCGAGGTCTTGCGGCGCTGTAGAGCTTTCCGGTGTAACGGGAGTTGACGCTGAGGTCGCCTGCAGCGCATCTTCCCAGTTCTCTTCATCATCATCATCATCATCATCATCATCATCATCATCGTCTGTTTTATGTCCTTGGTTCCCTTCATCCGTATCTGTGGAAGCTATCGAGGTCAAGGGTGATTCAGAGTCGTTATCAGACAATCCCGCTGCGATTTCGTTCGCATATTCTCTTGTTGATGGTCCTAGATCTGCGAGTTCAAGCGCAGGACGCTTGTTGGGGAATGGCTCTTCGGACAGTCCCCGTTTCCGGGGTAGGGATGGAGGCATACTCTGGCACCACTCAAGAATATGTTATCTTGCAGCGGCATTACCGCACATTCATCTTATTGTCAAATCATTATATGGTGCTTTACGTGTGTGCCATGTGGCCCAAGGAGAAGCTTTCGTGCTGATACGTAAGTTCTCTCGTCGCAAGGTTTCGAAGCTGACTCTTGTTGCCGCGAGATGTCCATGAATGAAGAAAGCCCAAGGTCACATGACCTTGATTGATTGCGCCGGCATTCAATTTAATGCTTGTCTATGTACGGATTAGAATTTCTTGACTGACCCATTGATTTAACCTGGACCTGGAGAGTATGAATGATGGCCTTGACCAGAGCGTATCTCATTGAAATCAATAGAGGGGTTGCTGAGGCGTATGTTAAAGAAGCGAGTTGTTGGTGTTTGTTGTTCGGACAATGAATGCTTTACTCGTTGAACAGGAATCAGGGTAACGTAACCCGACCATTGTGTTCCTAGTTTGCGGAGTAGACAGAAGTTTGGAGCTGGTCGGGACCTCGGCGGGGTAAATATCAGGCAATTCAAAATATTTAGTAGTCAGGTAAAAACAGTAAACCTCTTCCTAAGACACCACACAGCCAGCATCTCTCAACAACTCCATATACGCCGGATACCATTCCATATTTTCCAGAAGAAATCAATACACACCATTTGACCAGAAAATGGAGGCCGCTGCAAAACTTTTCTTCTCCTCTCCACGATTCGCCGTCGCCGGCGCCAGCACCGATCCCAGCAAGTTTGGCTACAAGAGTGAGTTATATATATAAGCAATCCACACGGGTGAAAAATGAAAATAAGCCATTTGATGTTCCTGGATGCTCATAGTAACATTTCACCACGAATAGTCCTCGCCTGGTACCACCAGCACTCCCTCCCCGTCACTCCCTTGAACCCGCGGGCCTCCGAAATCCCCCTGCCCTCAAAGACATACAAGACTGTCCCGTCGCCCTCCGCTCTCCAGGTGCCTACCCAGACATCTCTCTCCATCGTCACCCCACCCAAAGTGACGCTGGCGGTCCTGAAGGAGGCAAAGACGTTGGATATCCCCGCCGTGTGGCTACAGCCGGGAACCTTTGATAACGAGGTGCTAGAGTACGCGCGGAAGAACTTCAAGGCGGCGATTGCGGGGGAGGAGGCGGGCAGTAATGGGAGTGAGGGCTGGTGTGTGCTTGTTGATGGGGATGATGCGTTGGAGGCCGCAGGGGTGAGTTGGACAGCGCAGAAGCTGTAGTAGTTTTGGGTGTTGGTTTTGATGGTGGACAGATTGCTTGCGAACAGAATTTTCCCAGCGCTCTGAAATTTGTAGCAAAACACTGCCAAGAAATCAAAATATACATGTTTCTCTGAATCATTCAATTATCATTCAATATGCATCTTTTTCAATTAAATATCACTCGTACACATCTTTCTTATATTTATCATCAAAGTCATGCATATTGTTCGACAGGATTGCGGGCCGACCGCTTCGGCCCACACACTCGCTGCGACCGCCAATCCACGTGATCGGCGATCGCAAGCTCCGTATAAAATGTTGAGGGTCCCGGGTTGATCGGCCCTTCTACCAGCAGTTGCGCTGGTGGTGACTGAGCTTTTTTGCCACAGTAGCCTGGTTATGAGACTGTTTAGCATGAGCCTCAATGTGATCAACATGCATGAGTTCAATCTCAGAATGCACTTAAGAATATAAATCTCAAAATAAATATACTAAATATGTAAACAGTGTTAAGAGATATTCTAGAAGTATACTCTAGAAGTAAGCTCTTGAAAGAATAAGCTCTAAAAGTAAGTTCACTGAGAGACATCACTAAAAGAAGTTATTAAAAGAAGTGACTAAGAGAAGTTACTAAGAGAAGTACTCTGTAATAACTGATCTAAGAAAGAGTGTTAAGAGTTTCAGATTAATTAGCTCTTATATCAGTAGTATACTAATAATAACTAAGCTCTTATATCTCAGTAGTCAACAGATTATAAGACTGTTTAGTATAAATCTTACTATAATTAATATACATGAGTTTAATTCTAGAATGAACTTAAGAATATAAATCTTAAAATAAATATTTTAGATATTTAAACAGTGTTAAAAGATATTTTAGAAGTATACTTTAAAAGTAAGCTCTTAAAAGAATAAGCTTTAGAAGTAAGTTAACTAAGAGAAGTTATTAAAAAAAGTTACTAAGAGAAATACTCTGTAATAATTAATTTAAAAAAAAGTATTAAAAGTTCTAAGTTAATTAACTCTTCTATTAATAGTAAACTGATTATGTAACTGTATCTGAGATTAGAATTAAACTTTATAATTATTATATTATTTAAAAGTATTACTTCTAATTATAATTTATATTTACTATATTAATTTTAAATTAACTTTCTATATAAAAATTTAATCTTAAATAAAAAATATATTTAAATTCTTAGTTAAATTTTTATTCTGATTTTATTATTAAGAATAATATTAAATAAGACTAGAATAGCTATATAATTATATTTAAGATCAGAATCAAAATATTTAATAATTATATTATTAATTTAATTAATCTTATTATATAATATTAAGATTAGATAGTAGTTTTATATAGATTATTATTATTATTATTATTCTGTAATTATAGATGTATATAGTCAGAGACTATAATATTTATCTGAGAACTTTTAGTTTTCAGAGTTTTTTCTATATCTATAAAGTTAACTATTATACATTCATCAATTTCAGATATATAAAATCAGAAAATTCCAGCTTAGAATATAAAAACTGTTTATAAATTACAGTATTTTAACATCTTCTGATACTTTGAAATTATTTAATAATATTATGATAAAAGAAAAGAGAACACAGTCTTAAAGATAGACATATTAAATAGATAAATAGAAAAGAATAGAAAGAAAAAGTAAAGTAAAGAGAGACTATAATAAAACAAATTATTAAAAGATAGTATATAGCTGTTTTAACAGACTATATCTGATTAATTTTCTTCTCTTTATATTCAGATATTTCTGAATTTATTCATTTTCTTATAGCTGCTTAAGTTTCTGATAGAAAGTCTATTAAGTATTTAATTTCTGTCTTAGTTGAGAATAAGAATCTTATATTTAATTAATTTAAATCATACTTCTCTTTCAATCTGACTCTGAGACTATTATATTATGGTTTGGAAGAACGTACGACCGTCGGATAATAACGCGGCCGCTTCCGAACTACTAGTGTATGAGTGTAAAGAGAGGTCATAGCGGTCACTAATTAATTTAACATACAATATTATAATATAAGAAGCCGGTGTACATCTGTAATTGTACACTGACTTAAGCAACCTTTGAATCACATCTGATAGCATGTCTAAAAATCAGTGAGAAGTGCAGACTTCTCTAGAATGTAATAATTTCATCTATAAAGTGATTTGTAGTTATCATGTCAGTGTGATTTTAGAATATCTCAAAAGATAGCATATAAAGAGTAGTGAGTAGAAGAGCATCTGATTAATACTGCTTTACTTATTAAGAAAAAACTTCACACTCAGACAAATACTACATATGTGAACAGATGAGATGTGAGAAAAGAAATAAGAGTAATGAATCAGATTCAAAGAAGACTACTCTTCACTCAAAGAGATAAAAAGAGAGAGTGATTATTATCAGAGTTATATAATAATAACAGAAATTATATAATAATATAGTGATATAATGATATAGTAATAGAATAATATAGTGATATAATAATACAGTAATATAATAATAGATATTATATAATTAATGAGAAATCACTGAAATAAATATCTTCTCTAGTTAATATGAATAATATTCTTCTCTACTATCTAAACTGAAAGATATATAGAATCTCTCAGAGAGTTTATTTAAAGTAGTAAGAAAAGCAGCTGAGACTGCTGAACTGAAATTGAAGCTCTGTATATATACAAGAATTCTAAATGAGATTGAGATCTTGTGTACACAGTGATAAACTGAGATAAAAGTCAAATAATAATTGATATTCACTGCAGATTAAGTATTTACTATGAAGAGCTTCACTGATACAATTATTACTATTAATAAAAATAAAGAAAACTAGATCTTAGATCTGCAGTAGAAGATTAAATATTTATATAAATAGATAACTATACTGAATCTGAAGATCTTATTATAATTGTTCACAATCTCTTTAGAAGTATATACATTATCAGAGACTGCTATGCAGAATAAAAATCTGAGTATAAAATATATCAAGCTGAGAGATCTGCTGAAGCTATTAAGCTTTAATAATAACTGAAAAAATAATACTGTAATTAGCTAGCTAAGTCAGATATAATTATATTATCAGATTGAATATGAACTCACAGACAGACAGTTAATGAAATTTTAACAAGTCTTAAGATCTGCTGTATTTCTACATAGAAAAGCAAAGTTATTATAAATAATTAATAAAAAGATAAATCTTACAGATCTGAAATAATATTCATTCTTATAAATATAAAATGAGTTTTTTAAATGAATCTTATACAACTTTGAGAAAGTGAATATATAAGATAAGTATTATAAATGCTTCACTGAGTGTAAATAAGTAAGTAATCTTACATCATACTTTATATACTTCAGCTTACACTATCTTATATTAAATGAAGAGTTTTCAATATCTTTCTATTTACAGATCTTTATTCATAATCTTATATCTGAGTTAAGAGTGAAATGAAAATGCTTAATCTCACAGTCAGATACAGTGAAGAAAACATACAATATTCTTATTATACAGAAATAAATAAGTCAATTATGACAGAAAATACTGTAATCAAGTATATCTCAGTAAAGAACAGATAATCAGACTTCTATAATATAAGTTATATACTTAAATGTGATGAATCTAGATCTGAATACTATTACTAAAGTACTGAATTCTCTGAAAAAGAAATTCTCTGAATAAAAATCTTGATATTATAAGTATTGAACTTGCTTTAACTGTAGATATTAAAATCATGATATAAAAGATTGCACTCAGTGTGTATAGTTAAGAGAAGTAAGAGAGTTAAAAAACTAACAGAATCAGTAAGCTTGAAGACACTTGCTAATATTCTATGAAAAGTTTTCAAAGTGAAAGAGATATCTGTATTAGATAACTCTCTAAATTCTGTGAATATTAAGAGAAAGCAGGCTTCTGACTGAGATATGAATGAGAATGAAGTGAATGCTCAACTCAATGTCTTAAGACCTGAAATATTAATATATAAGAGATACTTGAATAAGAATTGAGAGATGACTGTAAAAGTGTTAGCAGATACAGAAGCTTCTATATAATATATTAATAATTATATAATCTGAAGATTGAAAGAAGTTTACTAAGTGAAGAATCTCTGATATATAAGATTATCTGATAACTAATATTTGATATTATCTATAAGAGTAAGAGTTTTCTTGTACTTCAGAGAATAATCTTGTTATATTTGAGTGTAAGAGCTGCAGAATGTGAAATACAACCTTATTTTCAGACTTGATTAATTTCAAAGATTTAATTCACAGATTCAATGATGTACATGTTACATGCAGTTAATCAATAGAAAGAAAACAGTTCATACAATTCTATTAACTAATATGAGAAGACTATTTCACACTTCTGATATAGAAGAATTAAATCTGCTTATATATTAATAAATAAAGAGAATGATTTATAAGATCTCATCTGAAAGCATTCTGTATATAATACAGAACTCAGAAGTGAAGAAAACTAAGATAAAGAATATATAAGAGAATAAGTGTATGAAGAAGCTTCTGAAGAAGTATGAAAAGATCTTTCAAACAGATCTTTCACTGAAATTATCACTGAAATGAGGATTTGTACATGAGATTAACACAGAGAATGCAAAATCAGTCAATCAGAATACATACTCTCTGTTACAGACATATCTTGAAGAATAGAAGTATCATATTACTGACCTTCTAGAATATAGTCTTATATAATTCTCATTAAGTATGTGAGGCTTTTCAGTTCTATTTGTGAAAAAGACAGATAAGAAGTAATAGATGTGTATTAATTATTAAGCACTTAATAAGCTTATAATCAAGAATGAATATTCACTGTCACAGATTCAATAATAGTTAAATACAGTTAAAAACATCTGATATCTATCAAAGATTAATCTTCTCTCAGAATACTGATAAATCTGTATAGATAAACTATCAGTTCTGTGAATCATGTTTAATATATAATAAGAGAAGTTTGAATTTCTGATAATATCATTCAGTCTGATAAATGTGTCTGTCATCTTTTAAATAATGATGAATATGATTCTTCATAAACAGAATGAAATCTTATTTCTCATATATCTCAATAACATTCTAGTCTTTTCAAACTTATATGATGAATATCTGAAGCATCTCAATGAAGTGCTTATAACTCTGACAGAGTATAAGCTCTATATCAAATCAATCAAGTGTGTGTTTGAAATGAAAGAGTTGAAGTTTATAAAATATATAGTGAGTAATAGCTGTATACATCTTATTCTAAAGAAATTGAATGTTATAGCAAATTGATCACAGCTGAGAAATATATATCATGTATAACAGTTTCTTAAGTTAATCTCATACTACTGCAGATTTATCAAGAATTTTATACAAATATCTGTATCACTCTCAGATCTCTTAAGAGAAATAGATGCAAATCTGTGAAAGAAAAAGTTTCATTCAATTATCTGAAATACTGTGTGTGAAGAGACTTTTCTCACACTGAGAGAATATGTAATAATATTCTCAGTGTTTATTTAATCAGATCATGATAAATCTTTTTACATTGAGACAGATGCATCTGAATGAGCTATCAGAGACACTCTTCTACAGATAAGTAAGAATGACAAGCTGCACTCAGTGATATATAATAGTAGAAAACTATTAGATAGTGAGCTCAATTATTATTATTATTATTATTCTTTCATTATACTCATATGCAAGCGGAGCTTATGATGAGTTCTTGTGTGATGTTAAATACAGGCTAAGTGTTGATTATACAGGAGGAAATACAGGTGTTGAGACCATATCAAGATAACAAGAACATAGAAAATACAAAGAAGTGACAATTAGATACATGCGATAATAACTTCCCAGCCCAGAAACATAGAGCGATTTATTGAAGTGATTTGTACATCTCTGTATTTATTA